TATCCGACTCAAGACTGACATTTATATTGACATGAACAAAGCAGAAGAAAACCAAACAAAATCCCTCTCTTGCACTCAGACTATGATCAGGGTTACAGACTCTTAAAACACATTGCCAGGTCCCACCTCCAAAGTTCCTGATGCTATATGTCTGGGGTGGAGCCTGAGAATTTCTATCAAGTTCCTAAGGGATGCTATGCTGTTGGTCCTGAGACCCCAATTGGAGAACCGCTGGCCTTTGGCAAAGGGCTGATAAACTTTGCTGATAAATCAGTAAAAGCTAATAAAAGGGTCAATCCGCACCTGTGGACTTACCAGTCCTTTTAGTGTCCATTCAAGTATTTTGAATACCGCACTTGCCTCCAGGGGCCAGGTAAATAATGAAAATAAGTGGGCTCGACAAAATGTATTGCCTCTCAGTCTAGCTTGTCACCTTCCCACTTTTGACAGGTGCAAGGAATGTGTCCCTTTTTCTTTGCTCTAAGGAAAGACACAGCTCAAGGCAGTGAAACCTAGGCTCCAGCAGGAAGGGGAACAGGAATTAAACAGGACAGAGCCTGCCAACCCCGGGGAGCCGTGCTGGGTGGGCGGGGAGGGCAACCGGGGAGGGCAACCCTGGGCGCGGCTCAGGCTGCCTCCGGGAAGCCCCGCCCAGCATCGCGGAAAGAGGCCAAAATAGATTTTTACGTGAACTCTTCCTGTTTTTAAATTTTGGTAACTAATTTAAAAATACATTTCTTAAACTCCGCGGGCCCAAAATAATACACCTGCAGGTGGGGTCCTCTGAGTTGGGAGACAATTGTGTCCAGAGGCCGGGAAAGGACACATCCGCACGGAGGCTGCATTACAGATGCCGACGAGCAGGACGACAGGAGCCGGCAGAAGCCTTGCGAAGCCGCGTGGGCCAAGCAGTTTCATTCCAGACCACAGAGCAGACAGCACGCCGATTTGGGGATCACCCCCCCGCGCAGCGCAGCGCTTCCTTGGGCTCCGGGCCCTCATCGGGAACGGCCGCATCCCCGCGTCTCGCGGCTCTCAGGACAGCACGGGGCCGGGCCAAGCGCCCGTAACCTGAAAAGCGCTGTGCAAATGCTGGCTGATGCCGTTGCCTTCGCCACATTTCCTGTGAGGCTTCGGGCAGGTGGCGGAGTGACGGGAGGGACAGGGTCCTAGGAGGAGGGACGGGGCTGGCGGGGGGCCCAGGACCCCTGTGCCTCGGGGCTTCTGCCCCCTGCTGGTCTCCAGCCAGCACTCCTCGCCGCCTCCCTCCTCCCAGGGCAGCCCCCTGGAGCCCAGGCAAGGTCTGGGCCTCTTGAGAATGACTGCAGAGAGGTTTACAAGTCTGGAAGCCGCTGCGCCCGGAGTGCTCAGGCTCCAGAAGCCTTGAGGAGAAATCTGGTGCTGAGGGAGACGGGGAGGCAGGGGACCAGAGGCTTCTCAGAGGAGACCAGGTGAAGCACAGCTGAAGATGCGGAGCAGGCAGAGTCTGACCAGGTGAGGCAGCGGTCTGTCTCCCTGGGCCCGGACAGACTTGCATGCAGGATGTGCGGGGGGGAAGGCAGGCGGGGGCAGGAGGAGGCCAGTTCCAGGGTGCAGCGGTGAAGCTGATGATCTCAATGAAAGCGGTTCTCAGAGGTCTGGGCACTCACTGTCCATCCACAGGGGACTCGTTACCTGAACTATGGCCCGTGTATCCTGTGGGCGATCGTACAGCTATTAAAAAGGCTGTTAGATCTACATGTGTGGACTGGGAGGACCAGACCTGATATCCTCACAAATAAGTTCCAGGAATAAATATGACAAATATATACAACATCGTATCATATAATATATGCCATATATGTGATGTTTACTGAAACTACCACAAATCCCAAATCGTGTTTACGTGCAGCAGAGGCACAAAAAAAAGCCTCCAAGCTTAATGCTGCTTATGTCAGGAAAAGGATTAGAACAAGGTGGGAGGAATGGATGGGATACAGGTGAGTAAAGGGTATTAACATATTTCCTGTTGTTTCAGGAATGTTTGACATTTCAATGGACCCGAATGACTTTTCTAATATAAAAAAACATCTGATAGAGGTAGAACATTTTGAAGATTCCAGGTATTAGAGTCAAGCAAGCCTGAGTTTGAATTGTGCCTCTGTTACTTACTAGCTGTGTGATCTTGGGTAAGTGATACAACTTCTCTGGGCCAGTCTCTTCAACTGCAAAATAAATAAAAGCGCCCATGTCCTAGACTTATTATGAGGATTAAATCAGGTATCACTCTTAGGGTTAGTACAATGTCTGGAATTGTCTTAATACTTGCTTGCTATGACTACCACCAAATAATGTTTTTAGCGTAGGCCGACTACAACAGACACACAAATGCAGAGTGGCTCAAACCCAGTAGCTTTCTTCTTGTTTGCATACCAGTCCTGGCAGGTATGACAGGTCGGACACTCAGGCTGCTGTGGTGCTGCCATCCTCAACAAGAGGCTCCCCAAGCCGTTCTTGGAAGTCTCCACTATGGCCCCCCCAAAAGGGGGAGAGAGGACCGGTATGTGCTTGTGGGAAGTTTCTACAGGCCAGGCAGTCCCTCTCCATTGGGTAGGTCTCGGTCCCATGTTCTCACTAGGCTGCAGGGGAGGCTGGGCACTGGGTTTGCCTGTGTCCAAGAACAGAAACTAGAAACACCTGGGCTTTGGCACGTGCTGTCTCCACCATTTATTCTTATCAATCTCATGAATTCCCATGACTTCAAATATGCTGCTAATTGCCAAGTCTACCTTCCCAACCCTGTCTCCCAGGCCCCATCTCCCAGGATCTCACTTGAGTATCTTCTAGGCACAGCCCCTCCCTTGATCCTTGTCCATAAGCTTTCTCATTGAATGACCCTGTCACTCACAAAGGCATACATCTGGGAAACTATCCTGGATGCTCACATCCTATCAAAGCTCTGTTCATATCCCTTCTGCATCTAGTTTAGCCCCACTCCTACCCACCCTACGTATCTAATACATAAATCTGATATGGCCCTCCCCTGCTCAAGCACTTTCAAGGCTCCCCAATGCTGCTATATTAAAGTCTAAATTCCTTGGCTTGGCAGCTACAGGAGCCTCCTCAGATACATTCTACTCTCCATGTTCCATTCTACAACAGCTAAAATACTTGTGATTTCCCAAGCACACCATGTGTTCCGACTTCTGAGCCTTTGCATATGCTATTCCTGCAGGGTAGAATGCCTTCCTTTTGCTTATATGCACCAGGTACATTACTCACCTTTCAAGTCAGCTCCAATGCCACCTCCTCCATGAAGCATGCCAGGCAGCCTGAGGGACCCGCTCCTTGGACCACTCACTGGCTTACTGTGGAAGGCAAGGAGCTTCTACCTTTTTAAATCTGTGTTTCAGCGCTTAATACCTTTTGAACATAGGTACTCAAATAAATGTCTGACTAATAAGTCCCCCAACTTCAGATGAGAGGGAGGTCCTGGAGTCAAAGCCATAGCCCAAGTCCTGGACTAGCTAATGTTGGGGAGGAAGACTGTAACTCCGGGGAGCAAGCCCGAGGCAAAATACCTCTGAAACAGAAATCAGCCAAAGAGAGAAATAAAGTGGGAGAAATCTGTTTATTGCTTACAAGCAGTTGTCCATTTCTGCTCTCCTGTGTATAGCGTGACCCAGCTGCAGGAAAAAGGGACCTCACCCAACCTCTCAGGTCCAGATATACCCTCTCTGCCCAGGTAGTTACACATTGATAAGGAGATGGACTCCTTCTCTTCACCCCTTGCAAACACCAATTGACATGGAGATGCACTAAGGCCTGGGCAGAGATTCTGGAAATACTGCAATTTTACCCACAAAGACTTTTCTTCTACCCTTCAAGTTTCTTCTAACTGGTTTAAGAATCCAATTGACATGAGACAGACTAACAGGAGGAAAAAAACAAAGTTCACTTACCTGATGGGAATCCATAGACATGAGACTCCACACAGTCAGGGACAGTGAGGTATATATATATGTCATCCTGAACTAAGGAGAGGGGGTAGGGGTCTGAGATTTCAAAAGGCAGGCAATTCACAGGAATATGAAAGAGTAAATGCTTGGTAAACAAAAATCTGCTGGACCATACAGAAATAATGGGACATAAAGAGAAATTCTAAAAAACAGACTTTGCTAAATTCCTTCCTGTTTACCACCCCTAGTTCATATTATAATATAGTTATCTATGGTACTATGTATCTAGTTATCTATGATAGCTCCCTTCCTGGAGCAATGCCTCTATCTAAATTCTTTTAATGCAGCTGGATGGTGAAAGTCAAAGATTCTTTTAGACCTTGACTATTTTGAGCTAGACATAATCTGCATGTCAGAGCAGCACATTTTAAGGAGGCCTGCCCTCAGCCGCTACACCACCCATGAGCTGTGTCCTCTTGGACAAATGCCTTAAGCTCTCTGTGCCTCAGTTTCCACAGATGAAATATCATAGCTCCTACCTCATGGTGTTATAAGAATTAGATAACGGATTATACAAGATGTACAAGAAATCACCTCCCTGGCTCAGGGTAGGGGCTTCACCAATGTTGGTTCCCCTTCTCCACAGGTTCTGCTTACTTCAGCCTCCAAAACTTCTAACATGCAGGGAGAGGCTCCTAGAAATGTAATTTTGATAAATGACCACTCCAGCCCCTTTCTCCCAAGGCTTTCATAAGGCAGAGGCATTTCCAGCTGAGATATTGAACGGATCTGCTCACAGGCTTTATTTCTGTTGGGGGGCTGGACAAGCTTCCTCTGTACATCCTGGGCCTCTGTCCATTCTGTCTCCAGTCCTCCCTCTGTTCAGACATACATGCCTTTGAGGTCCATGCATAACTTCTTTCTTAGGAAGCAGCTCCTGACCCCCTCTATTTCTTAGGAAGGCGCACCCTGACCCCCTCCATCCCCATTCTTCCATGCCATCCATTCGAGTGGCTCCCTCTCCCGCATCTGGAACTGACTCAAGCAGACACAAGCCCGGGACACCTTGGTACACTTTTATTCACAAACGCCAACACCCAGGCCGGGCCTGGCACAGAGGGTGTATTCTTGCCAGTGGCAAAAAAGTGATACAGCACTTCATTAATACCAACCATTTTAATTTAAATTAATAGTATTTCTGGAAGACAAATGCAGTTGATAGAAAATATAAAAACTTTAACTGTACAAATTTTACATCACATTCAAAAAGCAAGTGTGTGCTGGCGGCCACAGAAGATGCGTGGTTTGCACACACTGATGAAGCCCCAGCTAACGATGCTGCGGCACCGTGCAAGCTCCTTAATCAGCTTCACATTTATGTCTCCCCCCGGCCCCCAAATCAATACTGAACAATGACAACACAGCTTACAGGGCAGGCTGCTCCCCTCTGAGATCACAAGAAGAAATGGCATGAGAGAACAGAGGGATCCCTGGGCCCTGCACACATTGTTGATTTGGTGACATGAAGAGGTCAACTTTGCTACATGCTGCTCATGACTAATGGGAACTGGCTAGGACTCAAGACTTCACGGGATGGAAACCCAGGGACTGCGGCTCTGGTGGCCAAAGGCATCAGAGACTCCGACCCTAGGGTTTGGAGGAGAGGCTGGGAACTGGGGGGGCCCGTGGAGGGCCAAGGCTTGGGACATCCACAGCCCCAGAGCTCTTGCCAAGAAGGCCCTCCCAGCTTCTCCATCTGCTTCACAGTCGCTGTGAGGGCTGAATTCACAGTATCTACCGTCCTTCATGTGTTTCCCAGACAGACAAGGAGAGCACAGAGAAGGATACATATCTTCCCAACCTCAATTCACAGTCACTTAAGGAAAGAAGGAGAAGGGGACCATGGGGGGCGTTTCCTCTGGTGTTTCTCTTCAACGACAGGCAGCGCAGAGGCTCTGGCCAAAGGCTGGGAAGCTGCCCAGGGCCTGGAAGAGGAAGAGGGGTCCCCTGGTTCCTCCCCTGGGGTTCCTGCAGAACTGTTAGTTGCTAAGGGCAGGGACGGCCACTGTTCCCATCGCAGGGCCCCCAGCACTTGCACAAGATGCCAGCAGTGCTCAGTGAAAGCTTCTGGAATTGACCTGCAAGTGTAACATGAGAAAACACAACCAGATTGCCTGTGGCTGGGACAGGGCTGGGGAGGTGTGGGGCCTGACCTGCTCGGCTACTGTCCAAGCTCCAGGCCCCCCGGCATGTCTGGGGGTCCTGAGGGGAAAGGTGGGAGACCCAGCGCACAAAGTGGGACCTCTGGGAAAGTATGCAGAGGAGTGGGGAGGAGGCTCAGAGATTCAGCACACACCGCGTGGCTTTGAAGAGGGAGATCACGGAGAGCTGGCTGGGAAGCCACAGGGAGGAGGAGGTGAGGCCCACGAGGACACCAGACTCACACGGAGTTGCACCCAGCGGGCCTACAGCTCCTGTCTCCATCCTCTCTGGGAAAGGATAAGGCGCTCCCGGCTGGGGGGCAGTGAGCAGCGGAGCTGGCATACCTGGCCTTTCCGCCCAGCTGTGCCCTCCAGAAGGGGTCAGCCAAGGGAGGCCTGGCCCCATGGAGGGCAGCCCCACAGCTTCTAGGTAGAGTGGCCCATTTCATAGGACATTTTGGCCAGACTCTGGAGATGGGTCTAAAGATTGGGAGCTTCGCTAAATGGGTCTAAATGAAAGGGGGTGGAGGGCCACATGCTCCTCTCTCAGCTCAGAGTAGGGACCCAGGTTCTGACTCCAAGCACAGCTCTCTCCTCACCTGTGGTCAGTTCTGGCTTTGGCACCTAATACAACGTGATGTCCACTGAAGGACGTTTGCCATTTGGGACATTTGTCTCTAGGTGACAGCTTCTAATGAACACCGGCAGTATGCTCACACCACGGACTCCCCCAATCCAGCTCCTCCTTCTGGTGCAAAGTACGCAAGTAGAAGGCCTGACTCAGTGCTGGGGAAAACCCTGATGGGTGGGTCTGAGTGGAAGAGGGGGTACCTGCTTCCCATCTAAGAGCTCCAACATGGACAGTGGGAGTGGCAGGAGTGGGCTAAGGGGTTTCAGCAGGACCAGAGGAGTGCAAGAGGTGGGCAGTTCCAGAACCCTGGCATGACTGCCAATAAGTTTTCTATAGGGCCAGGTCACCCTGTGGCTGGGAGGTGGGCTCAGGGACCTGCCGCCTACCACCTCTCCCTCCCCACCACCTTCTTTGCGCTCACCCATCAAGCCTTCATGATACACGCAGCCATTGTGCTGGGCCTCAGATGCAAGTCAGGGATGGGATGTATCTAAAAAGCTGAGGCCCTGAGTCCCATCTCCTTGGTGCCTTCCTGATAGAAACATCTCTATAAGCAGTAGGAACCCTGGCCAGGAAGCACTGATCAGTCCTGATGTTATCTCGATTTTAACTGTCTCTACTTTTCCAGCAGATACAGGCTGGATTACAGGGGTCAGAGGGGAACCCAAGCTCTATGGGAACTCCAGACCCTCATAATCCAGCTTGGGTCCTCGCCAGGGTTTCCTCTGCCAGAGGAGGAAGGGATGGTGTCCCTTTGAAAGGACAAGGGGAGAACCCTCCATAAAGAAGATCCCCCACTGACGGCACTTAGGGTCCAGGCAGAGGCCAGTCAAGCCTGTGATCCTCCCGTTGGACCCCAAGAACAGCCACGACGACGATGCTTTTTCTCCTTTCAGCCCACCATGGGCTCCTCACTGCATACAAGGTCCTCCAGAGGAGAAGGCCACTTCTGCAACCCTGACTGAAGGGGCCGGTGCTCCTCTGCATGGACTGCTTTTATTATTATCTATTGTAAATAGAGTTCACTCTGCAGAAATGGACATGTAAACATTTGCCATCTGTCAGGACTGGTTCGCATGCTGATGTCATTTTAAGCAGTAGCCGAAGTGACTCCACCTCCGGGACACACAGTGTTTCATGGACAAACAACCCGACTCGAGGCCTCGGGCTCCTGCTCTGCAGCGCTTCCCAGGGTGGCTGAAGTTTCGAAGGGTTTTTGTCGTGGTGATTGTTCAGCCATTTTAGAAACACAATTAAGAAAGAAAATGGCAGAAAAAACTGCACAGCTGGTTACATCTTTGGATTACTGGCCTCCAGGACGCCCAAGCCAAACCTTTCAAACCTGGGGACAACTTTGCTGCTGTTAATGCTGCGAAGAGGAATAAAAACAAGGGTTATACCCTGTTGGATTTGACTGGGAATTAGGTTAATGTTAGCTAAGGAACGGGCCAATCCCAGCAGCTCAGCAGAGGCCCCACCAAGAAGTGAGAATGACTGCTCGGCTGACAGCCCTGGCAGAGCTGCTCCTGCTCCTCAGGGCTTGCTTGGGGCTAAGCTCGGCCACTCCCCCCTCCAGGATGACAGTGATCTGTTGGTCTTGGGATTCCCAGCACCCAGCATGGGCTCATTTGAACTATTTTCTCATTTGCAGCTCAGGACCCTCGTGCTCCACATGGAATTGAGAGAGAAGAGACACCTGCCCCCAGCACCGGGGGTGGCCTTGCTTGCTCCTTGCAGAAACGGTCCTCAAATGTGGGGGTGCATCAGAGCCACCTGGAAAGCAGGCTGAAATGCAGCTTGGAGCCTGCCTCCAGAGTCGGGACTCGGTTCTTGGGGGCCCCAGGAGTCTGCACTTGGCGAGCAGTGCTGGGACTCTGTGCACGGCCTGTCAGCCGCACTCCCGAATGAGGACTCTGGGCCTCGTACTTTTGGGCTGTGCTGGGCAGATGGGCAGGGAGCAATGCGTTGGGGCAGAAGCTTTGCTTTCATTAGTCAAATTGTTTGGAGGCAAGCCCCTCCTTTGCTTTAGGGCGACTCTCCTTAGGGTGTCACTGACACAGCCCTTTCAAGTTGGTGTCTTTCATGGCAACAGGACTTGGTTTGTACCACCCCCAGCCCTACGGAGCAGACTGGCTGTGGGCAGCCCTGAGATCATTCCACTCCTTGCTGGATAAGATCCTCTCGGGTTAACAGCCAAGCAACACTCCCACCAACGCCTGCCCATAGGCACAGCCAGTGGGAGCCTAGTGTGTTCAGTGGGGGGCACATCTCACTGAGGTGTTAGTAGGGAGACAGGACCATTCAGATATAAAGATCCCACCCCACAGAAGAAGAGCTGGAGAGAAGGATGCCATGCCCAGGAAAGCAATTCTGGTGGCAGGGGGTGTCTGTGAGAGGGAGCCTCAATGGAGAGCAGTTATTCAGGCACACGCAGGCCATGGAGCAGGGAGGGGGCCAGTTTTAAAAACAATCAAAGCAAAAGAAGTCTCAGGAGAGGAGATTGGTGCAGCAGAGATCGCATCCCGGGGTTAGCGCCCGCATCTCAGTGTGCATTTGAGTAGAGTCGCAGGGCCGGGTGTCGGTTAGGAGGCAGCAGCCCCTGGTGCATGCAAGGCAGCCAGACCTACAACCTAAGGGAGGAAAGAAAACAGGAAGAGCAGAGTCACAATTGAGCCCCATGGTCAGGGGAAAGGGGAGTGGCAGAGGCCTGGCCAGGGCAAAGGGCAGGGGGCCCTCTTCCCCTGCAGAGACAAGGACATCCCTGCTCTGTTCCAGGCTTGGCAGGGGAGCGAGCTGGAAGGGAGCCTGGCACAAAGAGCCTCTCCTCAGTTCCCCCAGGGACGCAGTCACAAAATGTTTTGACAGAGGTTGGTCAATGGGCCCACTGCCCTTCGGCCCTTGACTATGAAAACTTGACTTCCTGGAGTTCACTGCTTCTGCTTACTGCACCCCTTCTTCAAGCGCTGGCCAGAAGGCACCCTGGGGACTCGCATCAATGACTGGAGTTCTTTCCTACCCAGGGACAAGCCACCATCTGCCATAGTGTGTGGATACAGGCCCTGCCGCACACCGTGGGTCTCCTCTCAACCCAGTGAGAGAAACACGAGCCTGCTGGGCCCTTGCTGGTGGCCATTTCAGCTGCAACAACTCACACTGGTTCATGGGAGTACAATGCAAAGAGGGGGAAGCTGTATGCAGACAGAACAGGGAGCAGGGTGGGCCAAGGGACGAGAGCTAACAGGCAGAGAACGAGGGCGTAACAGAAGACACACTACTCCTCCAGAACCGGGCAGGCGTTCTTCAAGTCAAGGGGGCTGTAACGTCCTTTCCCGTAGTAGCGGCTCCGCCAGAAACTGGCAGTACCCCGTGGCCATTTCACCAGATGTGGGAAGAATGCAGTCCAGCAGGTGACGGAGTCGGGCACCCAGCGCAGACAGATGGAAGGTGGCGGGAGAGGGGAAAATGACAGAGCATCCACCACCCCCCAAAAATAAAAAAGCAACAAGACCGATGGAGAAGAAGAGAAAATGAGAGTTAGAAGCTGAATGGGTAGGAGTAAAAGTTATAAACAGGAAGCTTTGACAGAAATTCATTCAGAGATGCTGGCACTCTTTCCTCTAAGGGGCTAAAACTGATCGCCTTGGGCAGAAAATAATCCCTCTCTGTGACTCAAGTTTCCCACCTGTGAAATGAGAAGGTGGAGCTATACAGTCTCTAAAGAATCTGGAGTCATCTCCTAAATGCCAACACCCACCTAGTACAGCCTTCTCTGGTGGTTCAGAGCCCAGGATGTTAAACAAGTCACCCAAAGTCTGATAAATGAGATCCTTGAACTTCTTGCAAGGCCAGGAGAACCCCAGACTCACCAACTTTGCCAGGACAGCTCCTGCTCAAAACCCAGTTCTGGTGACCCTTCTCCTGGAGACCCTTCCTCAACCTCCTTGGGTAGGCAGAGGCCCCTGCCTGAGCTCCTACAGAGGCTCTGTTACAGCACTCAGCATCTTGTCACTCAGTCACTAATCCATTTACCAATTAGGTTGTAAACTCCTTGCTGCAGGAGGCCCGGCCTTTCCCTTCTGTCTCGCCAGTTGTGTAGCAAGTACTCAGCAATGGTGGGGTAATGCCTCTAATGGCAACATTCTGTTACTCCCTGTTTATTATTTTGGGCTCTTAGGAGCAAAATATTGCAAGTAATGTTGCATTATAAGCTACAGCATCTTCCAGTCCTTAAACTGTCATGCTCTAGACTGTCCCTGCAAATGGCTCAAGTCAGCAAAATTCACCACTTTTCTTCAACAAATTCTCCCACTTGCATCCTCTGGTCAGTTGACCCATGCTGGGCCTCCCCTTTCCTGCCGTGTGAAGCCCAGTTTGGCTTACTTTCAAGATAGGCTGGCAAACTATGTGTAAGCTAAAGCTGGCCACAAAAAGATTTTGACTGATTTAAAAGGTTGTGAAACAAAAAATACGCAATAGAGACTGTATGACCCACAGCCTAAATTTCCCATTTGGCCCTTTCTGGAATAGGTGGAATGCTGCTGGGCAGCAGATGTGAGATCTGGGTGCAGCTTCTGGGGCTCAGTGATGTGGCTGTAGGTGCCCCATAGGTGTGCGCGATGACTGCATTGCCTCAGGGGCTACCTTGGGGGACAGACAGGCTCTTGCCTCCACAACTGTCAAGAGCAGCACCACTTTATATATTCTATATATTGAGGCTCTGTGTGAGATTTCACTCTTAGAAAGCACCTTTTGCCTTAAAAAAGTTTATAACTATTCATCTCACCCAGGGGTCTTGCCACCAACGGCTGACCCACCACCAGTTTCAGGATAATACACAAACTAACAATCGTTTTTATCTTCCTAAATGGTTCTGGGGAAAAAGAATTGAAAGACTATTTCATGACATGTGAAATTCAAGTTTCAGCATCTGTAATAAAGCTGTATTAGAGCTCACCCAGCCCACTGGTTTGGACTGTGGAGGCTCCTACACTGAACAGCAGAGCTGAGTCCTTGTGGCAGAGCCTGCATATTGGAGGTGCCATCGCCTGGTGCTACTGCTGGGCACACCGTTGAACCCAGTAATAAGAGCTGTATCTCTTGGCCTGCAGAGCCTAAAGTATTTACCATGAGGCCCTTTAAACGTCTGCCCACCCCTGATCTTGCCCAACCCTACCTCTCCTTTTTAAAGCTTGGGCGAGGGGACTAGTCACCTCTCCAGTCTGCTTTGCGTAGCCCTCAGATCCAAGTCTAGGGCAGACAGAGTAATTGGTGCCTCTAAAAGGCCAGGGGAGGCCACGAAGGCCTGGCTGGCAGTTCTGGCTCCTCAGGATGGTACTTACTCAGCAGACTTCCAGAAGTGTCCAGGGTGGGAGAGCCGCCGGTTCAGCTTGGGCAGCTTCTCCAGCATGCCCATCAGCAGGGTGAAGCTGGGCCTCTCCTGCAGGTCGAAAGCCCAGCAGGCAGACAGGATCTCCTGCAGGTGGAGATGATGTCAGTGGGTGTGGGAGCTGGCTGGGAGGAAGAGGGGCAGCCCTTTTGATCATCCCAGGTACCCCTCAGCTGGTGGTCCCCTGATCATCCTGCTGACATTAAAAAAACTGGCCATTCTGGAGTAGGATGAGAAATAACTGAATTCCAGAAGAGCTCTCAACTTCCAGTTCAAACAAAGTACATGAGCTTCTGTCCACTCCTTCCTTCTTAGACCCCCATAGAACCACAGTGACAGAGTTGAACAAATGAGTAATAAGGAAGAGACGAGAAATGGGGTCATTGGTTTTTAGAATGGAAAGCAGAAAGCAGTGTGCTGAGAGGTGAAGTGCAAGATGCCCAGAATAGGTGGAGTGGGTTGCAAGGAAGGTGGGAGCCTGAGCTTTGTCAGAATGGAGGCTGGAGTGACAAGGACTATACACAGGGCAGCATGGAGAGTCAGAAGAGCTGCCCCAGCTGCCCCCAGAGTGAAGCCCTTCTCCCTCTGGCAGTTTGTGCCTCCTCTCAGGAGCCACACGTGCACGCACCACAGCCCTCCAGCCTTTGCATGCAGGAGAGCTGTGAGAAAAGGGGCCTGCACACACGAGGTAACAAGCCAGGTGCCATGTAAGAGAAAAAGTCACAGTTAAAAAAAATCAGCTACCTGTTATGATCTTGACTTTAAGATACATGTTTTTAAAAAATAAAAAGATGGGAAGGCAGTAGCCAGTTTAGCTGCTATCTGAGCTGCCAAAAGCCAGGAACCCAAACCCCTCCTACCACTCCCCTAAGGCATCTAAGGCTGAGCCACACTGAAGGTGGCACCGCTCAAGAGAGAGGCCAGAAAGGGCGTGCCCAGGGTGGGGGGAGGCACACCATCACCCAGTGAAGTGGCATCAGTTGGCCAAAGGAAAGCCTGGCGCTGCTGGGGACCAGCAGTTTGGTGTCATTCTCAGAGGAGCACACCTGCGCAAATATCATGTACTTCTACCGCATGACATGTATTACTGAGGAATAACGTACACCAAATACGACATCACAAGCGAGCCTTCCACAGATACCCTAGCTGCTTGCTACCGGTCAAAGGAGGAAAATATTAAGATCTCTTAAGATCTTGAGGGAAGACGAGGTTGAGCCTAGCCCAGAGTCTGCAGAGGGTGACCCTGCTGACATTGTTCATGGCTTCAAGAAACTTACAGCCCAGTTAGATTTTAACCTAGACAAGTAGTAGGTGATCCCTCCAGATGCTTCTACGGTTATGCTTTACAAATACCTGTGGGAGCTACTTAGTAACATCCAGCCTGGTACCTATTTGTTCCACTTCTACCTCATTCATGAGCACATGGTTATCATTGACCGCACTGAAAACAGCGACCCCTAGGTTCCCTTATATGTCATTGTGCCAGGGCCAGGAAACTTGCAAACTGCAATGCAGAGAAACCATTAAAGGTATTCAGAAACGTAAGGTCAGGAAGTGCATTATAATTTGGCATGTTGAAAACAAACTTGCTGTGGAAACTTCAACTTGTTCTTGAACAGTTAAGAAAAAACATGGAGAACGATTTGATATCATAACATAACCCTGCCATTTGTATTTGTGCAGCAATTAATTTTTTATTATCTTCTTTCATCCTATTACCATCTTTCAGGGCTTCATATCTTTCCAAATCATTATTCAACTAAAACCATTATTTTTATTTCTTTCCAGTCTTTTTAATTTCGGAAGTTTTTTTTTTTAAGAAAAGGGTTACCAGCAAGGTAATAAAGGACATAGGCCCTTTAGGTAGTAGCAGAGAGGCCTGCCTGGTCCAGCTCTGAGTCCACGTGGCGCTTTTCAAGTGCAGCCAGGTCAGGTGTCCAAGCCCCACCCTCTAGCCCTACTTCCCTCTCTGAGAACAGGTGGCTACTCACGGTAACTTCCTTCCCCAGGCTGATGGAGGCCAGGACACGCTTCATTCCCTCTCCACTTCCAATCTGCCAGATCAAGGCCTCTGCAGCTTGGTTCTTAAAGGGCCAGTCTCTTGCTTGCAGCTCATACCAAATTGTCCTGTGGAGACCATCCACGGAGCCTTAGCTTCTGGGCCACTGGGCCAGCTCATGCTCAGGGGGTCCTGCGGCCACAGTGCCAGGAGCCCAGTCAGAGCATCCAGGACCCTACTCCAGCCTCTGCCACACGCCAGGCTTCAGGGAATGCCGGGATGGTGCTCTGGTAGCTCCTCCGGGGTGCTAAGGGATCCACAGCCCTGTGCTTCCACTGTGGTGGAAGGTCTGAGGCAGCCCAGGCTCTGAACAACAACCCTGATACAGCTGTTTAACCTCAGTGGGGCTGATGCCTACATCCACGGTTGTTTGTGGAGTAACAAAAACGCCAGGCCTGGTGTCGGCACACACAGGTGCTCAGGAAATGATGGGTGAAGGCCAAGGGAGGAGGAGACCACCCCTGAGGGGAGGACGCCTGGAGAGGCTCCAGGGAGAGGCCCTCAGCCCCTCCAAGCCCTTCGCCTTTCCCAGCTGATTCGGATGGGGAGCTTCTCTGTTAGAACCTCATCGTCCAGCGTGGGCTGGTGAGCCACTCAAATGTGGAGAGTGGAACTGGGGTGTGGGGTAGTGTAAACTACACGCCAGATTTTGAAACTTTGTAAGATGAAATATCTCCTGACTTTTTCCTTGATTACATGTTGAAATGATAGTTCGGATCTACTGAGTTGACTAAAATATAGTATTAAAACTGATTTTACCTGTTTTTCTTTCTGTTAATATGGCTAAGAGAAAATATCAAGCCATATTTCTGGCTCACATTATATTTCTATATTTCTTTTTCTTCTGATGAGCTTTGTGGGGTAGTAGAGGTTGCATGGCAGGGCTCCCCCATTCTCCCAGAAGGCCAGTTCTTAGCTCTGGCGAGGGTCCTCACAGAACAACGGGAGAGGCTGATGCCCTGAAATGAGCTCACTTAGCCCTCATGAAATAACCCAACCGGGAGGCACCATTTTACAGGTGGGGAAAGAAGAAGTCGAGAATGTGGTTGCTCATCCAACAAGTGGCAGAGCCAGGACTCAAAGCATACCCTGCCCCCGCCCCCAAGCAGGGCCCTCTCTTTTGGCTACATTTGGCCTCGGAGCCCCAGGAGGAGGAGTACTAGAGGCCTCCTCACCCAAAAGCATAGACATCAGCAGCTCTGGAGAACGGTAGCTGGTCCTCGTCCTTCCCAGGGGTCATCTCGCGCACGATCTCAGGGGCCAGGTAGCACAGCCAGTCGTGTGACAGCTTCAGCTGGTTCTCACGCCTGGAGGCCAAGAAACCAGGCCAAGGACATGAGGCCTTTCAGCTGACAGCAAAGAGGCCTGCTGGGCACACAGCCGTCCCACGATGGGCAGGCCACCCACGCTCAGCCCAGGAAAGCAGTGCCCAGACCTGCTCTTGCAAAGGCATGGACGGAATGTTAGAGCAAGGCGGTAACCAGGTTCTTCCAGGAAAGCAGGCCACAAATGGGTATTGGCAGGGGGCTGCATTTGAAGGAAGCTGATTCTCGACCCTGGAGAGTGGGGTACTCTCTGTGCAGGAAATCAGATCTGCCTGTGCATCTTCTAGGCTGGCCTGGGGCTGGCCCTCCAGCCTAGCTGCCACTCTCCCCCCCTGGGGGTCTCCCAGATGCTTGGGGAGGAGCCCCTCTCCCCAGCCCACCACTTCAAGATAGGGAAATAAAACCTGACACTTCCTCATTTTGGGGGTGTGAACTCTGGTCTCCAGCCCAAGTTGGGAAGCAGAGGAGGCAAATGTGAGTGAAGGAAGTCAGCTTCCATAGGGTCAGCCTAAGAATCAAGTGCTGTGAGGGACCCAAATGTCACCCAAACATGATCCTGGATCAGAACCACAAGGGCAAGACCTGGCCTTTCCTGTGGGGAGCATTGCTCATCAGCAACATATCGTAAGCATGTCCAGGCCCTAAGGCCCTCCCAGACCCTAAGGCCCTCCCAGGCCCTAAGGCCCTCCCAGACCCTAAGGCCCACCCGGCACCACCCAGTTTCTCCCTGTTTGGCCCAGACACCCAAGGCCAACTCACCGTCCCTCTCGGACCACACCAGAGATCCCGAACAGCCCAAAGTCTGTGATGACTACTTTGCTGTTATCGTAGAAGACGTTCTTGGATTTGAGATCCTTGTGCACGATGCCCTTGGCATGTAGATATCCCATGCCCTGGAAGACAGGGAGCCTCACATGAGGAGGAGGAAGATGAGCCAGTCACTAAGCTCCTCTCTGGGCCAGGCACGAGCTGGATGTCTTTCCCAAGTCCCCCCATTTAATTGTCACCATCCAGTGCAGTACAGCTGTCTCCATTTTGCAGGTTAGCAAACCAAGGCTCAGACAGGGGGGGTCGCTTGCCCTGGGCCACAGAGCAGTTAAGCAGTTAAGATCTGGTTTCAGGCCAGTCTGTGCTCTTTGCATGTCACCGTCCTGTCGGCATCCATCTTATACTTGGCTCATATGTGTATGGTGTGGGACTCCCCTTGGGACTGGGGGCAAGACGCCAGGGCTGTGAATGGCCATCCCTGCTGGCTCAGGAGGCACATGTAAGCCCATCATGGAGGGTGCTCCCCACATTATGAGACATCTCCTTGGCTTTAAAGGCATCTTGGGGTGAGGGGTAGAAAGGGAAATGACAAGCCATGTTTAGGAAATAGAAAGAATTGACCGTGAGGCAGAATCAGACACAGTTCAGCTTAGTCGAAGTGGGTCCAGAGAGTGTCAGAAAAGAACTTGCACAAAGCAGGTACTTTTCTGCAAGAGACAGGAGGGCATGGGCTCTGCCTCTTGCAGAAGTCCTGCCATGGAAGCAGGGAGTTCCCAGAAAGGGTGACTTGTTTCTTCCCAAAACTCTGTTCTGAATGTAAGACCATCCTTCTTAAAATATCTGTCCATTTCCCAAACCAAACTAAGGCACAAGCCTTCCTCGGTGGCAAAAGAGAGCCAAAGACCCCACCTTAGGTTGGCCAGGGACCAGGTGTGTGACTGAGGATAAGTAACTGTACCTCTCTGAGCCTTGTTGATAAGAGATGTCACAGCTTTAAGAAGCCAGCTTAAAGAGACAAGATATAAAGTGCCTGGGTCTGGAGCACAGACTCTCCTGCCTTACCATAATTTCAGTGTTTTCAGACTGACCCCCAAATTGCAAACCCTCTAACCAAAGTCAGGCTCTGTTATTATATTTTGAGCCTCAAAACATCACAGATGAGTGCAAAAGGAAGTGGCTTAGAAGTTCCCAGCAGAAGGGGAAAGGGGACAGTTTTTCAGCATAAAGAAAACCAAATGAGACATCAGAGAGGCAGCTCTTGGCTCTGCAACTCCAAGACCATTCAGTAACTTTTCTCTTCTGCCTGGAATCTTCCAGATGGCTCATTCATCCTAACTTAGCCAGTGAGCAGCCAGACGCAGAGTACCCAGTGCTCTTGCAATAAGGAAAGTAGGAAGTCTGGGAAAGGAGGGCAGAGCGGGGGACACAAGGGGTACAGGGCCCAGCCAGTTCGGGGACAGCACCAAGTGGATGTGACATTCTGCCCCTGCCCCCAACTTCTCTGAAATGAGACCGACCGCAAATGAAGGCAAACATGTGGTATTTTGGTTTTGGGGCCTCAAAAGTTTAATTCATTAGTTTAGCCACATGGAAATGTCATGTGGAAATCTGGGTTTGATCATAAAATCCACTGTGATTTTTATGTTTTTCCTTTCTGGAGACACACATGGAAAATGGATGGAAGGAAGAAAAGAAGGAGAAAAAAGGGAAAGAAGGCAGGAGAAGAGGAAGGAAAGAAAGACAGGAAAGGGGCATAAACTTGGCTGCAGCCTGCAGCTGTGAGGAGAAAGCCTTTCAACAGAAACTAGAAAAGAGGAAGCCGTACCCGACAGAATTCCTTTTTTCATCTCGGCCAATTTGTTGCTAAATTAATGAACAAATAAGCTTTTCTTTCATTTGTATTTAATCACTTTAAAAAAGATGAAAAAGAAAAGGCTGCCTGAAGTGAGGCTGGGCCCTGTTCTCATGAAACCTTCACTTGGCCACTTTAAGGTAGAAGTTACAGGTACCTTTATGTCCCCTGGAGTAGGAACCCCTCTCCAAGTGCCAGGCTCTGTACCCCATGCTTTCTCTGGATTATCCCACTTACCCTTGCACCGCTCCAATGAGGGAAGTTATGCTAGTACCCCCATTTCACAGGGGAGGAAGCCGAGGCTCAGAGAGGCTAAAAGACCTGCCCAAAGTCACACAGCTGGTGTGACCAGGATTCACAGACTGTCTCTAAAGCCTGCTGTGTTCCTCCCTGACCAATTCAAGTCCATCAACAATGGAGTGTCCAGCTCCTCCAGCTCGAACTGGATGAGACACGGACAGAGGGAAGGAGGCAGGCTTCCACCCTTGAGGTACCCCAGCTAAAGGGAGAGACAAAGTAGCCACAGCACGCTGACATGGGCAGAGGGACCAGGGGGACGGCCAGGAGCTCGGGAACCAGCTGGCCGCCTCTTTACCTTGATGATCTCCTGAGCGATCTGCCTGGTCTTGTTGATGTCCAGGGATGTCTTGGGGTCCCTCACAAATGAATGCAATGTCCGCCCCTTGCAGAAGCTGTCAAGAGTCGGGGGGTCAGGCAGAGGTCTGGGGTCAGTGCAGCTGACCCCAGCTCTTGGGGAGCCTCAGAGGAGCCATGGGAAGAGCTGTACCCCCCAGCCTCTGGAGGACTCTCTCCATCCCTGGACTGTGGGCACCAGAATCCTTGTTCTTAACCAAGCCTGATGCCCATTCCTTCTGGGACAAAACCACACACAAGGGCACCTCATTTCCTGAGGCCAGGGCCTGCCCACCCTAGAACAGAAAGTCAGTTTACTAAGGCTTCTGGGGATCCACAGCAGCCCAGGCTCAAGGTGTTGAAGGCAGGAACATGTCCACACAAACGCAGGGAAGAATCTGGACTTTCTGGGCTGTAACAGGGTTCTGGGGCTCCCCACAGTGAGTCTCATGAGTGTTTGTATTGTTTTCTGATCACAGGGATTTTATCACAAAGAAAGACTGCAGGAGGAGGGGGAGAGGTAGGGGTGGCTGCCAGGGGGAAATCAGAGTGATTACTGGGTAAGGGTCTCCACCTGCACTGACTCCTAAACCCCAGGGTGAGGAAGGACCCAGAGAGAATGTGTGGCTCATTCCCTGGTTCCTGGGAGCAGCTGACTGAAACCATCTGAGGAAGGGGCTGGTGTTTACAAACCATCTCCAAGGAGATAAGATTCTTGGAGCCGCAGAGATTTTGAGAATTGGGCGAGGGGTCTGGAATATCAGCTGATGGTTCCTTATCTGTGTTCCAGGCCCCTCAGCATATCTAGAATGTTGAATTTTGTGAATGAATGCTTCCCTATTTTATTATATGTATTCCCTTGAAGCAGTCTCCCATCTGTCATGCAACTGAGTGGACGACAGACAGAAGGTGGACAGTGATGGGGTCTGGGATCCTGGGGGCTGTTGAGCTGGTGCAGCCGCAACAAGGCTCCGTGAGCATCATGCTGTCATGCCTTGGGCTGGAATTTTGTGACCTGTGATCTCAACACTGCTCAAGAGTTCTGGTGGGTGGTTATGTCTCTGATAAACAAGAGAAATGGAAATTAATTTTTACTTAGGAAATATAGTGTGAGGAGAAAGCTGTTCCAAAGCACAGGGTACAAGCATGGCGAATGTCAACAGAATATTAATGAGGTTTCTCTTGGCTGTTGAGATTAAAGTGACTTTTAGTTTCTTTTTTTTTTTTTTTGACTTTTAGTTTCTTCTTGAGACTTCACATTCACTACAAAATCTCTTCACTAACCATATTGCTTTCCCCGATTTTAGAAGTAAAGATGCAACAACTTTTTCAATGCCAGGGCCAAAGGTGTTTCAGTTTCACAGCCCCTGCTGCTGGGCTGGAGCGGGGGCACTCATACACTGATGTTGGGAGGGGACAGTGGTGAACCCTTTCTGGACTGGAAATGGATGGTGTCTGTGAAAACATTACATACTCCCAGCACACACACTTATGACGGTGTCCAGCAAAAGAGGACTGGTTAAAAAATTAGGGGATGGCCGATGCTTGGCCCGAGAGAGAGAACCCAGAGCCCAGTTGTGTGACCCGCTCCCTAATTCCACTCTACTTGCAGTGACATCATGTGGGTCGCTTGAAATCAAGCTGTGGTGGGAGTATTTACACCACAGGAATTGACAGATGCCACAAAGGAAGGCTTCCCTCCCCACCACCGTAGAGCTGTTGTCAAACGAATGCCAGCACATTCACTGGCAGGAATTCTGTGCAGGTGTTCAAAAGAATACCACGGATCTCAGACCTGCACTCAAGCGAAGATGGCAAGGTGCGAGCCAGTAAGATCTTTGCTGTATATTTTTACAAAGAAATAAACAGTTCTAAAAATATGGGTATATATAAACGCTTGTATTTTAATGGAAGGCATGATAAGGAACTGTTTCCAGTATCCACTTTCGGGGAGAAGCACCCAATTGGGGTGGGAGGTGACCGGTTTTCATTTTGTACCTTTCTGAAACATTTGAATTTTTTCTATCCTTAGGTATTATTTTATTTGTTTGTTTTTTTAAGGCCCACGGGGTTATATACAATGGGGAAACGATATCCCACTTTTGTTTTTCTTCTTTGTGCCCCCCACATTAAAACGTCCATGCCCTCCAGGGAGTGGCCCCAACAACAGGGCCCCTGAGAAGCCTGGGGGCTGGATTACCTGGTGATGATGGCCAGGTGGGGGGGGTTCATGCAGGCCCCCATGAAGAGCACCACATTCTCATGCCGCGTCTGCCGGTAGTTCATCACTTCTTTCTTAAACAGCTTCAGGTGGTCCTGGTTGTGGCCGTCCATCTCCAGCAGGCGGATGGCCACCTCGCCGTGCCAGCGGCCACGGTGCACCCGGCCCCAGCGGCCCTGCCCAATGGGCTCGCCCAGTTCCACCTGCTCAAAGGGGATGTCCCACTCCTGCAGGTACACGCTGGTCTGGCTGGCCTTGCGAGAGATGGGGCCCCTCCACGGCCGGCGGGGGCTCGGCAAGTCGTCCACCTCATCTTCGTCGTCTTCTGCCTCTGACTTATTGGCCTCGGGCTCCTCGGCCTGGAGGGAGAGGAGGCAGGAATGGAGAAGGGCAGTGGATTCGGGCTCAGCCAGCTTCCCTTTCCGAGAGCCCAGGCCAGGAAAGGCAGAAGAAAAGGGTCAGAAGACCCGGTTCCACCGAGCTCTGTGCTGGCTTGCTGCAGACAGTGAGCAGGTCATTAGCAACGCAGGCCCTCAATGTTCTCATCTGCAAAATATGGCGTTTGACCTTCCCTTGGCACTCTAAGGTCTACCCATGGAGAAGAGTGTTGCATAGAAGAATTTAACTGCATTCATCCTTTCTGGGTGTTCTTTTGTGTAACACAGTTTCTGACCTTACTCTGGACAGGATTAAACCAGTCTGATAACATCCTCTGAACCACACTGTACCGCAGGGAGCCAGGCTCAGTTGACACTTTGGTTCAAGGGTCAAGACAGTGGTTCATGGCTCTGTTACAATCAGAATCACCAGGGGAGCTTTGGTAACATACAGATGCCTCACCCTCAATGCAGACTGACTCAATTAGCACCTCCCAGACTGGGGTCTAGGCCTCTGGGAATTAAGAACCTGCTTTTGCTCAGAACAGAAAAGCAAAAGGAATGTGGCTTCATTGTATTACATATAGTTCTTACCTGCCCACACACATCTGCCCATACCTGCTGCAGAAGGCACCTGAGAGGCCCTGGCCAGACAGGTGCCCACACATTCCCACATGCTGAGATGGGCAGAGAGAGGAGAGTGCAGGCTTTATCTGTGGAGCACACCACCCCTACTTACCTCTGCTCCATGATCCTCCGACATGTCTGCTTTTGGCTGGTCGTTGAGCCTAAGAGTAAAACAGGGTTTGTGAAGGAGACCCTGAGGGTGGGCCGCTCCTCTTAGCTGGGCAGGGAACTCCCTGGGAGAGGTCTGAGTAAGGGCCACCAGGCCTGGATCCTTACTCTGACCTGCTTGGCAGGGGAAAGGCAGCCTGGATGCTGTGTAAACAGTCAGAAGGCTGAGAACAAAGTCTTCTGTTCTCTGGCCTTGGTCTTCTCCAGACTAACTTGAGGGTAGGGCGGGGGTGAGGGGTGAGCAGTAACTACCAAAGACCTTTCAAAGCTGACACCCATAGGTGCCGACACACGCATAGCGCCTGAAATTCTACTTGTGAACTGACTCTGTCATTTCCTAGCTAGGTGACTTTGCCATTTTTTAACTTCGCTGAGACGGCTTTCTCATCTGCATGTTGAGAATGGCTTTGATACTACTTCCTGAGGGAGTGTGAGTCCAGTGCTCAGCATGGCCTGACACAGAGAGAGGGCTCCCAACACAGGAACTATTTCTCGCAGTTTCCTCTGAGTGCCCTTTGCCCACCCCTCCTGGGTCATGGGACAGCTCCAGTTTCACGTACAACCCCACCCAATGTTGAATGCCCCGAGAGGAGGCAAATAAGACCCTTCTGGCTGACTTCACTGCTCCAGAGGGTCAACTAGCCCGAGGAATGTCCCACCTGGCTGTCCCAGGTTCATGACAATGTCTCGAGTGGGACATCAGAGACTTACAAGTGGGGAACGGAGGGCGTCAGGGATGTGGGCCCAGCTGTAATGAGTCCCCAGGGAAGGGGGGCACAGCACAGGATGCCTACCGGGTACCATCCGCTGCATCAGGGTGTGGGGCTGCCTGTGGAAATGCTGAAATGTCTGGAGGAAACAAAAAGCAAACACACAGCATGAGACCCTCTTTCCACTCCCCTCACAGGGCGCTACCTTGTAAACCCAGCAGGGAAACACGCAGGGAAGGGTCCTTGCCTGGAGGGCTGCGCGCACTCTCCAGGCCACTTCTACTCCTGAAAGGGAACCCGCACGCGGCCCCTACCACACTTGGCTTTGCCACACGGCTCTGTCCCAGGGAGAGACTCCAACTACACGAGGACACCTCAGTTAACACTATTCCCCTGTGGCCCAACTGCCCCCAGAAGCACGTGGTAAAGAAAACTGGGTATTATTTCCTGGACATGTGGGCCAGACCCTCTGCTCAGAGGCAGAAACAACCCTTCAAAGTACTGCTACTCTCTCCCTCAGACTAGCAGGGGGTGAAGGCAGGCCCCAAGGTGCCTGGTTAGTGGCACTTGGTGCCTGGCATGTCTGCTGGGAATTTCTGGTTGGAGCCAGAGGTCCCACCCCTCAGTTCAAGACTTGGGTAATTGGTGAAGCATCTCTCAAGGGAGAGGCAGAGATGCACAGCCCACACCTCAGGGGGCCCCAAGATTGGGCAGCTGGTCCTTGAGCCTGTGGCTTTCCTCATTTTAGCAGTAAAAGTTCCATGTCCGGGGAACACCAGACAATGGTCAGCCCAGTGTGGAACCAACATGTTACAGGTGAAACCTTCCACGGCTACTTCACTGCCTGCCTCCTCCTGTTCTCTCTGGTCCCTCTAAGGAGGCTGGCAGCCCCAGGGCTGGGTGGGCCCCTTTACCCCATCTTCTTTTTTCAGCAAAAGGAGAGAGACTAGAGGTGGCAGTGGATCGGGCTGTCAGCAGCCTCTCCCTGCCTTCTAGGACAAAAAGCCTTCCCACTTGGCCATCAAATCTCCCTCAACTCCCAGGTAGGGCTTTCTCCCCGGCTGCCCCCTACAAGTCATCTGAATCAGAGGTTCTCATCAGCTCTGGGACCTCAGGATTGGAGAATCTGATAGAGCTGTGGGCCTTCTTAGGCACCTGACATCCTGTGCATAATTTCCAGGGGGTCCTGGGCCCTGGAAGCCTCTGCGAAGGCCTCCCCCTGACACCACCACATCGTGCCCACACACCACCAGGGGCAGGGAGGCCTGACGTTTCTACCCATCCAACGCTGTGGTTTCCACAAAAGATGAGCATGCGTACAGTTGGGGGTAGGCGTGTGGGCTGCAGAGAAATACCCCAGTGGAAGGGCAAGTGTCTCTGAAGCCTCAGACTTTTCCTTCAACATTAAGAGTGTATTTTTCATTCTGATCCAAAATCCAGCCCTCCTTCCCTCCCAACATATCTTTAGAGCAAGACAGATCCTTCTGGAAGAAGAACTATGTTTCTCCAATGCTTCTGTGTACTCTCCTATATAGTGTCCAAGAGCTAGTAACCCGGGGAGGCTCTTGGAGGGGAACTGAAACAAAATGGGTGTGAATCCAGAGGCAGCTCTTCAGGGCAGGTCCCAGGCCCCTGCCAGCCTGCACATGCCTGGGCAATGCCATATGGATGGTCTTGGGTGAACTTAACAAATACTCCAAGTCACTCACATAATAGGGAATAGAAAAGCATGGGCTAACCAAAACACCATGACTTCAAGACACATCTGTTTAACCAAGGACAAAACCAATTAGTTACACTCTGCCTACAATACGTGGAACCTGCGTATGGCTAAATTAAGAATTAAAGTTAAAGAGAAATTATACTAATGCTTGTCACCTTCATCTAGGGAAATAGGACTAAATATATAAACTCCCCAGGGGCAGGAATATGGACAAATTCAAAGGTTGGCACACAGTGGGTGTGCAAAACAACTTTTGTGAAAGAGAATCAATGGAATTGTCTTACCAGACTAAAAGATTTCCTTTACCCTTTCAAAAATAAAGATGCACTTCCAACCGTTGCCAGCAGATGGCACGGTGCAGTAAGGCTCGGGAAGGTGAAGCCCACTGAGTAAAGTGGAGCCTGCAGACCTTCCCAAACTGGTGTCCCCTTCTGTAAGATACATTAGCAGCTTCCTTGTCATGATGCAGGGGAAGGTACTGTGACAGACGCTTGTAAGGCAACAGCAAAGTGTCTCCTCCTGCTCTGCGAACTGGGTTTCTGCCACCTCCTGGCTGTGTGACCCTGGATAAGTTGCCTGCAATCTCTGTGCAAGAGGCTAGACAGGATGGATGCCAAGCTAGCCAAGGCACTTCCCCTGTGAAGGGCCCTCCTCGAGGCTACTCTCCCTGCCCTCTTACCCAGCCTCCACAAACAGTTGGCTCTCTAAGTAGGTGGGCATGAGCCTAGAGCCTCTGAGGTGCCCAGGGACAGGTGCCCAGGTGGGCTGTGCAGGGTGGGTCATGGCAAAGGGCAGTTAGTGGAACCATGCAAAGGACTCACCTGGAAAGATAAACTGCTGTCTATGATGAATGAAGCAGGCAGCTTTAAACAGAAGAGGAGGTGAGTCACACACACAGAACCGCAAATGCAGCAGGGGAGGCAGGTGCACAGGCAAGGGCTCTGGACAGAGGGGCTGGTTACTGGGTGTAGGGGTGCAGCCTGCCCCAGGTAGGCTTGGCCAGGACACAGCAATGCATGCAGGAAGGAGAAAAAGAGCCAGGAGTAAATGGGTGCTGGCAGGAGCCCCCAGGAGTAATGGGGATTGCGCTGGAGGACTGGGGTTCACCTGGCTGCTGAGCCCCGGACAATTCTGTTCAACTCCCAGGCCCATCTCTCTGCAATGTACAGGAACCCAGGAGGTCGAAAAACAATGGGGAGAAAAACAGTGATTCTAGAAACATTTAACTGTGCTGTGCGTAGAGGCAGGGTCCTCCTCAGCTCCACAGTCACCCCCAGAGGTGCTGAGGTCTCAGCGACTTGACCCCACCATCAAAAACAAACAAACCCTCTCTTAAGGGCAACTGAACGGGGCATGCTGGGGATCTGGACTCTGACACAGCACACTTCTAACCTCAGTTCTACCACTGACAAGGGGCTCTGGGACCTTGGGAAGTTGGCTACCCCCTCCAATTGTCCTATTATAAAAAGGGGGTACAAAAACCTTTCTCCATTTTTATCCTCAAAGATAAGCTGAAATGCTTCTGCACGGTACAGGTGGGTGGACAGTAGGAGTTGTTCCATCCCTGGGTTAACTGCTGGGCCAGCCCAGCCCCCCGTGCTGCTCTGACCAAAGAGATAATACATCCTGGAGAGAGGGAGTGCCCTGTGCAGGGGACAGTGATGGCCCAGCTTGGTGCCATCAAAGGAAGCTGAGAGGTTCTGGCTGACATTACAAAACACACTTTTTCTATGGCTATTGTTTTTCAAACAGGCCCTTCCTTTGGTAAAAATCCGAACTAGGAGGTTTAGCAAAAGGCCCAGTTTCAGAGCATAATGACAGAGCTGAAAGGGAGAGGCAGTTAATCAAATGGGCCATCGTGGGTGGGTGTGCTCGGGTGATGCAGGAGATACTCAGCCATGTGTGCATTAAGGCAAAGGGCAGACAAAGGAGAAAAAAGATTCCTACAAAAACAATCTCTCACCACCTCCAAAAAGTCCCTAGAACTCAGGGGAGATGGGCCCAAAGAGGCTGCCAGGCCTCTGCCGGCTGCATGTGGTCACAGCCAGGCCAGAGCTGTGCCTGTCCTCCTAGGCCTGGAGCCCCAGGGCCCTGTGGCAGGTGAGCCGGACTTGGACTCCTCAGCCGGAGCTGGCAGTGAGGCCTGGGCCCGGGGCACACTGGGGCACCCCGGCGGCTGCTCCTTCCTCTGGGCTGCCAGCTGAAATACACCAAGGACTGAGGCTGACTGCGAGGAGCTGCCAGGCAGGCCACGGCTGTGGCTCAGCCCTGAAATGGGCGAGTGGACCTCGTCCTGCTCCGTGGACAGGTGGGGGCTCCTGGCTCTTCAGGCCCAGGCAGCAGCTGGGCGGAGGTGCCATTAGAAGTCAGCTCTGGCTCCTGTCTGCCCCAGCAAACCCTCCCCTGTGGGGCTCCCTGTTGTCATCCACACAGTGGGGGTAACCTGAACTCCAACTTCATGTGGTGTCCTGCTTTATGGAAAAGGGAATGAACGCTCCCCCTTGAGCAGCTTGTCCAAATCACAGACTGGGTAAGTGGCAGAGCCCCGGATTCTCTCTCCCAGCCCTTCTGGGTCTGCCCTGGCTCCCTGTGCTGCCTGCCATGCTTCCAGGGAGTTCGGAAGCCCAAATGAGTGAACAACACCCAGCAGAAGCCACCCCATGCACGGGAGGGCAGCGTGGGGACCACATCAAGAAACCACGTTCTACATCAGGCTGACTTGCTTTGATCCTGGCTTTACCGCTTACATGCTATACAGTGCAGGGCGAGCCACCTCCTTTCCTGGAACCTCAGTGTTCCCATCTGTCAAATGGGTGCAACAGCATCATCTGCCACAGGGCTGTTACCACGTTTAAATACTTCAGTGTACTTGGGCTCAGCACAGTGCCTGGCCCCCTGCTCTTAGTGGTGACAGTGTTTGACTTGCTGGGGTGTGACTCTGTCCCTGAGGACCTGAGAAAGCGCTGAGGCGTGGTACCTGGGAAGCTGAACCTGCCATCCCGCTGGCTGGGCGAGGGGTTGGGTGGTGTGGTGGCGCTGGGCGGGTTGGACGATGTCGGGAAGGGCGCCGGCGAGGAGGGCGTGGAGGACGTGGTGGAGGACGGGTTGCTGCTGGAGTCCAGGTGGTTCATGGCTGGCGGGTGCTCCTGCAGGGCCAGAGACACCGCAGTGGGTGGGGACGGCTGCTGCCCTGCCGGCCCCCACTCAACACGGGGACACTGATGTGTTATGGGTCTGATATCTGAGGGAAGGATGGCACCGAGAGCCCCTCACCTCAACACCTAACCCCCAGAGGACTCCTGCTTATCTTTCTTCAGTTCAGACATGCTTTCCTCCTAGAAGCCTTCCCTGAACCCCTCTGGGACCACGTCCTTCCTATCTTCCCACAGCTCCTGGCACTTTCCTTCAGGGCACTGGAGCTGAGGTTTGTCAACTGCAGGCACGTTGGGCGGTTTTCTGAAGACTGTCGCCCCCAGCAGAACCGTGTGTCCTGTGAGGGCAGGGGCCACGCCTGCTCACCTCACACCCAGTGCCTGGCTCTGAGCTGTGCACATGGAAGGGTTTTTTAAGAAATTAAATTCAGACTCTGACAAGTGTTTACTTAGTGTGTGGTACACAGTGGTACCTCATAAATGCTCCTCCCTCTCTTTTGCATCTAGTGGTTTGGGTCCTAGCAAGGCCAGAGGACCACCTGAGAGGGGACTATGAGGGGAGTCTACATTGGGTGGGACTCTGAACCTGACTGGTGTTTCCTAGACCCAAACCCCATTCCTCAGTGGGGAAGAGGGAATTCCTTGGCCAAAAGAGTTGGGGCCAAATTAGGTTCAATGGTCTGACTCTAGAACCCACCGAAGCTACCAGTGGGCCATACCAGCCAGGGACAGCCACCACCTGGTACCATGCTAAAGTCAGGGGGGGAGCTGCATCCACTAAGCCCTCACTCTCCAAGCACCTAGACCTTCCATCCTGTCCCTGTGGTCAGGCCAGCTGGGGCCGGGGGAGTGGCTATGAGGCCAACTGGATTCCAGCTCCCTCCCTCAGCACCTGTGCAAGTTTTAACCATTACTCCACCTTTCTGAGCCACAGTGTGTCGTCTATACAGAGAGTATATCAGCTGTCACCTCATAAGGTTGCTCATTCGTTCACCATTCAATACAGACATTTCCTCACCACTTACTGTGTGCCAGGCTCCAAGGTGGCTGCAGGGACCCAGCAGAAGCAGAACAACATAGCCCTGCCCTCCTGGGCACCCCCACCACATGGGGAGCCAGGCAGACAGGTGACGGCAACATGTGACATCAGGTTGCTGGGAAGGGAAGCCCCTTAGGCGGTGTCCCTGCAAGGCCTCCCTGAGGAAGTGGATGGTATAAACAAGTGTTTCATGTGGGGCAACAGTGGGCACAAGAGCCTGTCTGAGCAAGGAGCCGGGAGGGTGGCCTTTGGAGAGAAACAGGTTAAATGCACAGCCCTCAGCCGATGCCTGGCACCCATGACAACTCAGGCACTGTTAGCCTGTCTGATGACAGTGCCCACAGGGGCGATACTGGAAGGACAATACCCAGCAACTGTCCGCAGTGAGGGATGAGACAGGAGCACCAAGAACCGTGAAGGTGGAGGGCTAACGGGTGCGTGCAGGAGGCGCTTGCGCAGGAGCGACTCTCAGTGGGGTCTGAAGACCTGGAGGGAGGGCGGGGTGGGGGCGGGATATCCACACAGACAGAAATGCAGTAGCAAACGTGCCAGGGCTCGAATGGACAGGACGTGAGCAAGGGGGTGGGGAGGGGTATAGGGTGGGCAGTGCACTTGGCGTAGCCAGAGAGAAGAGGGCAGGCGAGAAAACCGTGCTGGCTAGGTGGGGGTGGCCGATCAGGGGCTGCTGTGCCTGCCGAGTAGCCGTGCCTCTCAGTGACAGCTGGACAACAAGCACTAGTTGACCAGACCGAATTGCTCCTGACAAGCACGTTCATGCACGAACATCATCTCATTACCTTTACAATCCTCCATGAAAGATTATCCCCACTTAACAAAATAGGCAGCTGAGGCTCTGAGAGGTGAAGGAACTCTCCCAAGAAAGGGAAAGGAGGGACTTGAACTCAGGGCCGTGGGTCCTGCCCCTGCCCACTCAGCCTCTCCATTCCTGGTGGGAACGCCCCCAGCAGAGCAGAAACACAATGACAGGCGGAGAGAGGTAGGGGAGAAGTGGGCCCACAAGAGTCGCCGTGTCTGGAGCAGTGGCCTGTGCTTGACGCTGAGAGGTGGGCCTGGACCTTCCCAGAGCAGCTCCCAAAGCTGCACCTTCAGGGTCCCTGGTGTTAACTGACCAGGCCTCTTGTCTCTCTTCTCTCTGCCACCCAGGCTGGCCCAAGCCACTGAAGGCCAGCCAAGGCCACATGCTCCTCAGGAGGGTGGCAAGTGCCTGCTAAGCCCTGGTCTGGAGCTGGGACACAACACACTTGAAGACACACAGCCACACCCACAGTGGCCCCGGGGAAGGCCTGGTCCCCAGCATGGGGACTGCCATCTGAAGCCATGAGCATGGGCGACTTGCAGAGACCATGTACACCCGAGTGCAGGAGCCATGACAAGTGTGCAGACCCTCCTGGGGGACACAGGCTGCAGAGGTCACCTGTTTGCATTAGCAGAGAAGCCTGCCCCCTGGTCATGGAAAGAAATGCACTTTTATGTATGACTGTTGAAGGTGTATATGTGTCACACTGGGACTAAGGCCCAGGCTTTGGGCCTGCGTGGCCACTGAGGCTCCTGCTCCGGACCTGCACCCCACTCACAGGGGACCCCATGCTCAGTTTCCTCATCTGTAACATAGAAGTAATACCAATAGGTGACTTCAGAACTATTGTGAGGAACAAACGAAGCATCAATGGAGAAAGTCCCCAACTCACAGTAAGCACTTGGGAAACGTCAGGTCAAGAGGGCACGGGGGTCATGGCCACGTAACTACGATTTGGACATCGGTGTGATTTGAAGTGTATGAAATGGCTAACGATAGGCTCCCCGAAGGCCACCCTCTGGCCACGGATCCTGGACTGCGGCGCCATGTTTCCCTGCGGGACCCCCAGGCCAGGGGTGCCGTACAGGAGGGAATCCCGGGTGGGTGCTCCCGGCAGAAGCAGCCGCGGGTGGCCACCCAGCATACCTTCTTTGTCAGCGCCTTGGGGAGGGTTCCAAAGTGAGGTTCTACTGCTCTGTCCACCGGGGTGTTGATGTCTGAGGGTACAGATTCTGTCCTCCGAAGCCTGGGTACTGCTTAAGAAGAGGGAGGATGATCAGCAGGGCACAGATAGAGCTGAAGATTCACCCCAAACACAGAAGGCAGAGGAGAGAAGGGTAGAACACTCACGCGGAAGGAAGGATATTCTACAGGCAGGAGCTTCTTTTGTGCACTTGTTATGACACTTCAACCTGGGAAAGAAGGTGGGGTCAGCACACACGGAGCTGGCCCGGGTACTCCCAGGACGCACAGGGGTGCAAGGGCATTGCTCAGCAGCTTTGAGCACCACTCGCTCCTGACTGCCTTGATTTCCACAAAGTGCTCCACAAACATTTGTTTCAGAGTGCAGGACTCCACCTGTAGAGAGCACTAGGGCTCCTGGCCACTGAGCATTGCCCTGTCCCCACTGCCGTGCCCCATCTTCACCGCAAGGCAGGTCTGGTTATTCCCACTTTAACCTATTGTGGGTCACATAGTTATTTCTCTTTTCCAAAGAAAAGGAGACTCTCTACTCACATTCAGAAAGCTCCAGACAAATCTAAACTAAACAAAAAAGATGAATTAGAAGAAGGTTCGCATCCCCAAAGCCAAAGGATCCCGGGGATGCGAGGAACAGCCCCTTGCTACTGTCCAGCCCGGCCCTGTGGCCTGTGGTCAGCAGCTGGGGCCGGGGCTCTCAGTCTGCTCCTGCCTGCTGCACCACATCTGGGGGTTCTTATCCACCAAACGGGCTGCCTGCCGGGGCCTGACCAACCTCACACTGCAGTCGCAGGACAGTGTGGGGCTCAGAGGTCATCCTGTGCTTTCTGTATGAAAGGCATTACTTGAAGGGAGCTGGAGGTCTCAGTTTAAAACCAAATGCCCAGGAGCCACAGAAGACCTAGATTGGTGAGAAAATTCTGGCATCTTTTTGATGGTCAGGAGAGTCATCAGGGAAACACAATTTATGCAACTGATACACAGGAGACCCATCACCTCCAGTCTGCGGGGAGCCCAAATTTTTCCTGCCCACTAGCTCAGATTCTTGGAGCAATCCTGATGGAGAGAGAGAGACCTGGAATCATTTTCCCTGATGTATAAATGACAAAAATGAGGCCCAGAAAGGGCAAGCACTTTGCCCCAGGTCACACAGCAATGCAGGGGCAAAGAAGGCCAGGAGCAGAGACTCCAGGTCCATCCTCTAAGGTGAGGGCAGCCAGACAGCAGGGTAAAGACTCTGCTTCCATTATTCCCTATCCTTGTCCTTTCCTCCTATCAGAAACGGACAGTGGTGCAGAAAAGGTAGGGTTCTATAGAATCTACATTCTCCCCTTACTCTCCCCACTTCTGTAAGTAGCATGAGCCATCTTCTTGATTCTTACCATTGCCTGCCCCCAATTCCCTACCCCTTATACTAAAATGTAAAGTTAAGCTTCATAACCACTTACAGTTTCTGGAACAGTCCTCCCAATCCCCCTGTCTTTGTACAAGATGCTCCCCTGGTCTGGAATTCTCTTTTCTCCTTGGTCCACCTTGTAAACTTCTATTAATCCTTTAAAACCCACCTCAACTATTCCCTTCTTCTGGGAATGCCTTGCGTGGTGCTTCCTCAATCTCCCCAGTGAGGGCTGATCACTCCCTGCGATACTGAGTGGGATTCCGAATAGCAGGTTTAGGAACTCTCAAAAGAGTTCCTTCAAACTCTGATTTAGCCTAAAGCCAAGAACCAAGGAGCAGGACTGTTAGGTGTGGCATTTGCCCCTCTCACCCGGCCTTCCCCCCTTCCTCATCACCTGCAATGCTTGCATTTCACCCCAAACATCATGCTCTTCTGGCACACATGGCAGACCTGCGACAGCCAGGACTTGGTGGAGAACCTACAGGGGGGACACACGAAAATGCTCCTGTGGGCTGGGAGACCAGAGCCAGGCAGAGAAGTGTTCCCACACTGCCCCAGGGAAACCTGGAGACTTGGTTCTATCCCAGAGCCCCAGGCCCCTCTCCCAGGGAAGGCCGACACCCAGAGAGGGGCCACTGCTCTCCCCAGGCGTTCAGATGTCCCAGCCACAAAGTAACCATTGTCAAAATCTCAGAACAGCTGTGGCAACTGGTGCCAGCTCCCTGGCAGGCAATCTGGCAACAGTCATCAAAATTACAAGCGTGCATACTGAGCAATTCCAGTCTAGGGAATTTATCCAACAGGTAGCCCTACAGGTGTCAAATGTTGTGTGGACAGGTTACACGCTGCAGCACGTTTGTGGCAGTGGAAGACTGGAAAACACCCCACGTTGTTTAGCTGATTGTTAACTGATTACGCAAAGTAGGGTCCATCCACACATGAATGAACACCATGCAGCCAGAAAATAAAGCAAGGAAGCTCTTTTTATGCAACTATGGAATGATCTCCAAATTATATTGTCAGGGAAAAAGGTACAATGTTGTATGATTTCACTTACATGAAGCTCACTTATAGGAAAAGCTAACCTATGATGACAGGAGTGATAGTCACCTCTGGGTGATGGCTCTATCAACTGGAGAGGACCAAAGGCAACTATCTAGGGTACTTGAATGCTCTGAGTATTTCTGAGTGGTAGACATGGGTGCATACACATGTAAAAATCCATTTGTGTGCTTAGCTCTATATACATTCGTTATGCCTCTGTTTTAAAAAGGAAAAGCAAACGATAAAACTGCGTGTGTAATATATGCAGTATTTGTGTGAAAACAAAAAAAGGAGCTGGAATAATATACATATGTATTTGCATGTATGAAAATATCAAGATCTGCCTACAGGGAGATCTAAGGGGCTGGGATGGCAGCAGGGGGGTAAGGAAGCTTTCTCTGTATATATGCTTTTGTACCTCTTGAATTTTGAACGCATGAAAGTATTTCAATTCAAACGAAATAAAAATTTAAGTCATACTAAAGTATAAAAGATGGATTGAAAGGAAGGATGGTGCTTGAGTGGGTGGTATACTTCAGAGAAAAAGGCCGAGGTGAGTCCATAAGGTGGGGAGTGCCTAAGGACACAAAGACCACATTGAATAGGTTTTTATAAGCACAGTGCCATCACAGTAACCACAGAACAAACAGCAACAGTATTGGGGAGCCATTTGTAATGCATTCACAAATTCCAATCTGACAACCACCCCTGGGAGTTAGGCAGGTCCAGGATTCTTAGTACACAGTCAAGGATACCAGCTCTGAGAGGTTAGCGCACTTTCCTGAACTGGGATACTGCTCAGCGGGGGCCAGACCTCAGGTCTCTGAACTCAGAGCTGCATAACTTCTCTGTTAAGACAGACCTGAGGCAGGACACAGGGCAAGACAGACCCCTGAGGCAGGACACGGGGATAGAAAGACCACTGGGGCAGGGCACAAGGCTCTGGGGTCAAACCCCACTGGGTTTCAATCCTGCTGGCTGTGGGATGTACCTTGGGGCCTCTGCAAATGAGGCCATCATTTCCCCATCACCGGGACTGGGGAGGATACATGTGTGCTGCGTAAATGTGTAGGGCCTGGAATGTGGAAGAGGCTCAAGAAATTACTGTCTCTACCCAGTCACGACAGGAGCTTGGGGGTTTAGCAGCAGGCCTTTTAAGGAGCCCTGATCCCACCTCCCTGGCATCCGCATTCTCTGTCTCACTCTCTGGGTTTTACTGTCCTCTTATGTGAACACCTGGGGTAAGGGGAGCAGCTCAGTGGTATCTGAGATGATCTCCATGAGGAAATCTTGAAAACAGGGCAAAATGACAGTCAGGTCTGGGCCTGGGAAAGGGCAGGTGCTAGGGAGAGGGTGTTGAATGGAGGTAAAAGCCTTCCCAGACCAGGGAAGGGTCCACCCCTGTCCACTGGGAGGGCAGCCTCTGCAAAGAGCTGCCCCCTGGGGCAGGAAGCAGGAAATACTTTGGGGCAGGCTGCACAGCCTCAAACTCCCTGGGGCAGCTGAGACAAATGGAATGCAGCACCTGTCAATCCTCCTGTCACTCAGATCACATCAGCCTCTCCTGGGCTAGAGCCTGTGGTTAGATACCAAGCACTCCCCTCGGCTGGGCAAGTGAGCCCAGATGCACACTGCCCCATTGTGTCCTCATGACAGGGCCGGAACTCCCATTTGCAAATAGGGAAACTGAGGCTTGGAGAGATTGCTGCACCCAAAGGCCATAAGTTTTTGAGGACTCAATTGGGTCACCTCTTGCTATGTGAGTAAAAGCTGTCTGATTCTTGGTGGAGGGTCTGAAGCTGGTTAGTCAAGTAGCACATCCAGTACCTTTCCCCAGAAGCACCTGGAGCATTTTGGTCTGAGAGCCACCATCACTAAATCTTGGCAGGTAGAGTGAGGTCAAGGTGAAGCTTTACCGTGCTCCCGTCTTGAAAGATCCTGCTCTCAGCAGCTCTCACGCTGGCCCTGGAAAGCTGCACTGAGCACCTTGGTATGGCCAAGGGAGGCTCTCAGACCTTCACTCGCAGGGCTTACCCTGGTTGTCTGTGGTGCTGGGGACTCTCCACCCCAGGGGCTCTGGGGTATAGGCATCCCAGCCCTGACAAGGCTCCAGAGGTGCCTGGGCACCAGCCAGTGGGCTCAAGGACTGTCTTACTGGCAGCATGACCTCTGGCAAATTACTCAGCCCCTCAGAGCCAGAGCCGGGTCTTGCCCTCTGGGCAGGAATCCCAGATCAGCCTCCTCTTGGGGGCAATGAGGGCCCTGGCAGGTAGGAGCGCGCTTGACAAGCACGGCCTGTTGTGTGCACAGTAGCCTCTAACTGGGACCCCAGACCACAGACAAGGTCTGGCCAGTCATCAGAGATGATGATGCTATACCCAGAACTGCTGTTTGCAGCACACGCTAGCCTGACAAGCACTGAAGCCAAGCCCTCTGGACGGTCCCTGTCATGGGCTCGCATCATGCCAACATGCATAAGCACCGGAGTCCCTGGAGGTTGTTGGAAATCTTGACTGCCAGGCAAGGGCACCTGACGGATGAGGCCTGGGAGTCTGGAGGGTCGAACAAGCTCCACGGGACTCTGATGTGACAGTTGTTAGGACCCACATGATATCATGCCAGACTGGGAGGAAGCTCTTGGCTCCACTTCCCCCAAGACTGTGACCCTGTTTCTCCTGGGACCTGTGTTCTTCCTCAGCAGAGTGACAAAGAGACCCAAGGAGGGGTGGGGCTGCAGGTGGGTGCAGGGCTGTGTCCATAGAGGTGATGGACAGACTGACCAGAGGCAGAGAGCTCTGTGAGACAGGGATCAAGGCAGACTTCCCACCGGTGGTGAAGAGCGACCCCTCAGTGGGGGCTCTGCACGTGGGGGTCCCAACCCAGTTCTATGCCCTGCCCGGCCCAGCCAGGCCTACCTGTGAGTCACCGGCAGCCCAATGTCCCTTCGTACCATCTGTGGGGATCCGTGTGGGAGATCTGCAGGGAAAGAGGCCAGGTGGGGTAGGCTGAGGAAGCCCTGCCAGGCAGCTGGGCCTATGACCTGATTCAGAGTTCACGGGCTAGAGGGGTGTGGATACTGCACGGTGGAGAGAGGTTCCCTGAACCTGCATTTATCAAAATAGGGACAGGCCAGGCTGGACTAAGGGGACTCCCCTCCTTCCCAGCCTCTGCAGATGGTTCAGGAATGTCCTCATGGGGTTTCTAGCTTAGGTGGAAAGCAGGCTTGAGAGGCAGGAAGCAAAGCAAAGGTGAGGACAGACGTGTCCACACACCTCCCTCTCATACACCCTCATGGACGCACCTAAAGGCCATAACTGTTTGAGGGCTCAATCTGGGTCACCTCTTGTTATGTGGGTAAAAGCTACCTGATGCTTGGCAGAGGGTCTGAAGCTGGTTAGCCAAGTAACACATCCAGTACCTTTCCATCCAGAAGCACCTGGAGAATTTTTCTCTGAGGGCCACCATTGCTAGATCTTGGCAGGTACAGCGAGGCCAAGGTGCAGCTTTACCATGCCCACACAGGTGCCCAGTCTGAGCCCCAGGGTAGTCTCGGCTCATGAGCTTTGAGATACGGCTTCTGCCTGCCTTCCTGGAGAGCACCCCGGACTCCCTCTTCTAGTCCTGGGCTTCCTGATAAGAAGAGGTGTCCCCAGTGTTTGTAGCCTTACAGGGTGGGCAGTGAGGAGCAGCTGGGAACAATCTCTCCACCGGCAGCCCACATGTCCAGCTCCCTCCTCCCCTCCTTCCCACCCTCCTTCTGCACTGCCCTATCTCTGCTCAGAGCAGGGGGTCCACCTGACGCAGGCATGGGCCTCGGGGGTCAGGGAACCCTGGGGACTGGTAAGCAGAATGTTGTTGCTTTTCCCTGGAAAGAGGGTCTAGACTTTTATTTGATTATCAAAGGGACCTGTAACCCAGAAAGGTCAGGAGCCCAGTGCTCGAGGGGTCTGTGGCCATCTCGTGTCCCCTGAGTCAGCAGCTGTGGCCCTGTCTTCACCTCAACCACCCCAACAAGGGCCCTGCACCCTCCCTGGGCCCTAGGTGCTGATCTGGCACACAGCCATGCTTATTAAATGATGGTTCACTTAAAGCCAAATACCACATACTCAACCGCGAGGGGAGGGCGCTCCTCCCCCGCCAAGGGGAGTCTGACTGCATCCAGAAGGCCCTCTGCCGCCCTCTGATGATGGGGAGCCCACAGTCATACCATTGGCACCTCTCTCTGGTGCCCTGTCATGGGGCTGGCTCATCCCAACTCCTTCCTGAGGCCCACCCCACCCCAGCCAGCAGCCATCAAAATACATGGGTCTATAAGGTGATAGCCTGCCAGCTTAAGAGAAAGACTATGGGAAAACAAGATTTCAACCACCTACGTCTGAACACACGGCAGCCTGTGATTGATTTGTAATGTCTGTCACAGGCAGGGGCTAGGAGGGAAGTGAGATAGTATGTGGGCGGGCTCTGACTGCTGCTGACCTAGACGAACACTGATGCTGAAGGCCTCGTCCGCCCTTCCCAACAGGCTATGGTCCCTGCATTACTACTGCAATGGGGAGGACAACAGGGCCAGGCTGTCACAGGGTGTGGGCACTGGGCTCTCTCAAGGGCCCTGAGACACAGAAGTATAGCCTCCCTCCTTCCTCACTCCATGCCTCCCTGTGGTCCCACAGCCAGCTGCCTCTTAGCACAGCCACTTACTGTCTGCTATCCTTGTCCTCATCTCTGAGACCCTGCCGACAGCCTCATCCCTCTGCTTAGCCAGCTCAGCATAATACAAAAATAAATTGCTCTTTTGCTCAGGCAAAAACCAGACATCTCTGTATTTCCACTGAGACAATTAAAAACAAGTCCCAGAGGCATTGCTGTTTCCTTCTGCTTTGTCTCAGGAAGAGAGGCTCCCCAGTACAACCATGTGCAAGACCCGGCTCCCACCCTGGACGCAGAGGGGTGGAAAAAGGGGTGTGAGGCTGCCTGGGCTTCCTCTCTCCTCCCCAGGGGGCATCTGCACCCTCCAGCCTCTCAGGGCCTCATCCACAGCTGAGCTGCATTCCTACCTCTGAGGATATCCCTCTCCTGAAGGGAGGGGTCCTGAGACATCAGCTGGGTTCTGCAGATGGCCAATGTCCACCTGCACCAGGCAGATGGTGCCTCCCTCCTGGGAGCACTGCGTTACCTTGGTGGGCCAGCAGGCAACACCCACTACCAGAGGTCACCTGGGGACGGCAAGGTGCAGACAGGGCCCGCTGCAAGAACTGCCCGCAGATGTGACACTCTCAAGGTCCCTGCTCTGCAAAGAGCAGCTGCTGGCTGGGCTGAGGCCGCCTTGTCATCCTAAGGCCACCTGTCAGCACTATCTGCTGAGGCGGTTCTCAGCACCTCTGCTTCTGGACAATGGAAAGGCCAAGTGGACTAAGAGAGGGTCAAAGGAATCCACTCTTGACCGGGACAACGACACAAACACGACTCCTGGGTGCCAGAGGGGATGAAAATGAATCACTCTTACCAAACCTGCAAGAGACAAAAAGACAGAAAGCAGGACTGTCACTATGTCGGCTCAGGGTGTTCCCCAGAATGTCAAGGCTCAGGAGGGGGTGGGCAAAGTGCTCAGAGGAGGGCCTTGAGACCCTGGGCTGTGGGGCCAGGCTGGCTGAGTGACTGTGAGGACATTTCCTAATGGAAGGGTGGGAAGTGCCCTCCCTGGGCCCCCCACTAATGTCACACCCTGTGCTGTGCACTTTTGCACATCAGCCTCTCTGAGCCTCCCGCCACCCAGCAGGGTAGAGCTCACAGCTGAGGAGACAGAGAGGCTTGCAGAATCTCCCAAGGTCGTGTGCCTGTAAGCGGGGAGCCCTGCCTAGGACCCTGGGAGGAAGGGGGCTCGGGGTCCAGGTAGCAGAAGGGGCCAGTCTGCCAGAGAGGAAGAGGGCAGAGGGCACAGAGAAGAGCTGTGAGAGCAGAGAGGTGGCCCCACTGCCGCCGAGGAGGGCCCGGTGGGGACAAGCCCCCAGCAACGCCTTCCCAGGGCTGCTGCTCTCTCAGGGATGCAGTGGGCAGCCAGTCACCACGGGCAGTGAGGTGGCCTGAGCACCCATGGCAGTGCTCTTGCTACTTCTGGTGGTGGGGACCGGCTCAGGGGGATCTGAAAAGTGGTATCATCTGCCTGAGGCAGTGTTCTCTGCCCAGAGCCCAGCACGACAGCAGAGTCCTCCTGTTGCTATTTTCAGGAGGAAATGAGAAACAGATGCACTGGGCTTTTCCCACGAGATGCCCCCGATCGGCCCACGTCCATGCGTCCATGTGGTGGTCATCACCGCGCTCTCTGAGAGAAGAGGATCCAGAGGGGAGGAAGTCACCTGTCCCTGAGGGAGGATCCACGCCCCAGCAGGATGGCCTGATGGGGAGCGGCAGGGTAGGTTCCAGCATGGCTTTCTCTCCCTGGGTGACACACTCAGAGCCATCAGAGACGTCCAGGGTCCATCCCGTAAGGGGCCCAAGACAGGTTGCTCTGGGACAAGGGGAACAAGCCTTCCCAAGACCAGCAAAGGGGTGCCAAGTCAGGAGAGAAGCCGGGTGCACCAACCCTCAGAGGCAGAAGACGGTAAGAAGCACCCGGTGAAAACTCCCACCTTCCTTCTGCCCTGCCTACATGGGCGTATTGAAAAGGGCGATTTTTGTAGCACAATGAGTTAATGTTCATCAAGAAGGGAAGAGTTAAACTGTGCAATGGAATAATATGAACAAGTTAAAAAGATGAGGTAGTTTGAATAATTATAAATACAAAACGGACAGCCTGGTTGGCTCCTACTAGGGGAACTGGATGGTTGAGGAAAACAGTAGGAGTGACTTCATACTGCAGATACCCCCCGAGACAAACCACATGAGCTACAAAGCTTTTGTATTCTGGACCATGTGACTGTTATCACCTACTTAATATACTTAGATCAACATTTTTTATAAATAAAATAAGGTATTTCAAGGTGTACTGACATGAAGTTCTCAGAGATACCACGGTAAGTATAAAAAATATGTGCTAGAACAGAGTGCCTGGTATTTGGTAATCATTATACATTATAATGTATACATTATATATACATTATAATCACTAGAAATTCCAGCCAGATATTCTGGTTCTCCTTTGCTGGGCACATGGGAGAATTACATTTCTTGGTTCCTTTGCTTAGGTGGGCCTGGGAATGGCAAGTGGAATTTTCAGGAAAGAGCATTGATCTGCTAGTGTGTAATGTCTAAGATTCTTTTCCCTTTGTCACAGTGGGGTGTTTTAGACAGTGTTCTGGACAGTGGCTGTTCCAGCAGCCTGGGTCCTGTAATGAGGCTGATTCATGAAGGGCTGGTAGCATGCGCAGAAAATCTGTTTTAAGACCCAGAGATCAGGGGTTCGTGTTACTGCAGCATAACCTAGTCTATTCTGACTGATACGTGGCATCATTTCATTTGTGTGTGTGTACACAGAAAATCGAGTAGGATTCAGCCCAAATTGGTAAGGTAGTCTGGGGAGTGGACTGAAAGATGGGGGTACCTTTCATTTTTCACTATGCACATTTCCTTGTTGATTTTATTTGTCCTTTTAAAATGGAGCCTACATTATCTTTATAATGAGAAAACAAGAGTCAAAACTTTCAGTAGATAGCAAATTAAGCACCTGCCCTGGCAGGAACACTCACCTCATGGGGGAGACCTCGTCTATGCGGTTCCCCAGCTGAGACTCGTGGGACTTGCTCCGGGTGAGTGTGGGGAAACTGGGCAGCAGCTGGAAGACCTTGCGACTGGGTGGGGGCGGTGTCCGCGGTGGCTTCAGCTTGGTGTGCCGTCGCAGCTGGGGCGTGGTTGGGGGGGTGATGAAGCTATGCAGGGCACGGGGGGTCAGCCGGCCTCCAGCATGCAGGGGGATATAGGTGTCTACAAGGCCCTCACTGGGGCCAGGGGTGGAGGAGTCCGAGGCAGGCAGAGCTGATACGGAGACAGAGCGCGGGCCCGGGGCACCACTGCCCAACCTGCCCAGCTGGGAGCTCCCCAGGGGCCAGGGCAGGCTGGCTGGCGAGAGGGTGTCCACAGAAGGCCCTGAGCCACTTTCCCGCCGGGCATCCGAGGAACTCCAGCCCGAGTTCTCTTTGTGCTCCCCTCCTGTGGACCAACAGGTTGAGTCACGGGTGGTTGGGACTGTAAGAATTTGCAGGCAAGGTGGCTAGGGCCCAGAGAGGTTAACACTTTGCACAAGGTTGCACAGTATCTGAGTAGAAGGCATCAATTACCAGCCTTCACCTGGTTTATAAAGCCGCTCAGGCACATATGTTATCTTCCCTGTTATCTAGGTGGACTGTGTAGGGCACCAGCCAGATGTTACTGTCCCCATGTTATAGAAGGACAATGAGGCCCAGAGAGGGAAAAGCTGGGAAACCCACCCCAGAAGTGAGCGAGGAAGACAGAAGTGGTGGTTGATCTTTAAGCATAAGGAAAGGGAAGCTGGGGGGTGTGAGGGGATAACTCCGTATCAAGAAAACCCAAACATCAGGAAAAGGGGCTACACCAACCTTCCAATAGCAAATTGCCCTGGAAATTTGTGAGTGACTTTCAGCTGCCCACACAGTGACCTGGAGGCTCTGTGGGACTCCAACTCAGCAGTACAGTCTGTGCATTCACTCAGGCAAATGTCATGCTGAGTGTCAAGGCGTAAAAAAGGTGCCTCCACTGCACTTGAAGAGCCCTGTGAGGGTGCAGACCCTCCACAGCCTGGGGGTGAGGGGGCTTCCTGGAGGAGGTGGCACCTGGGCTAAGCCAGCTCAGGAAGAAGGTAGAACAGGTGTACCAGGCAGAGGGAACAGCACATGCAAAGGCAGAGAGCACACAGCACCTTCTGGTAACTACAAAGAGCTCTGTGTGCCTTGAGAAGCCAGGACAAGCCAGGGAGGTGTAAGACATGAAGTTGGAGGGTGAACCCACCTGGGACCAGCTCAGAAGGGGCCTGGGACACCTTCCTAAGGACCTCATAGGAGATGGAGAGATACCGAAGAGCTGCAGGCAGGGAGAACGGACCCCAGCTACAGAGCCCCTGTCACGGGGAAGGAGACACTCCCACTCCTCGTATTTATCAGTGAGTAGAAAGCATAGGTAGGTAGATTTTGACTCAAGACCAAATGAACTTTCGTACTGGGATCCTTCAGTTTTGTGCTTTGTACCTCACCTCCCTTAATCCTCTCAGCATGGGAGGTCGCTGAGATCAGAGGCCATGTACACTGCTGAGATCAGACGCCTAAGCAAGTGGTGGGATGGGGACCGAGCCCTGGATCCCAAACAGCACTAGGCCTCCTTCCACAGGGGTCTCAATCCTGCACAACCTATGTGGCACAGCCTTGGGAGGTAATGAGCTCTTTGCCACCAGAGGTGGTCAAGCCTAGCCCACACAGCCATTTGTCAGGGATGACAGAGAGAGATAAGCCTTCACAATTCTTAGGGCTTCTTTGAATATTCCATCCCTCTTCAAATACCCTTCCTCCTACTTCACTGGCGACTTTTATTCACAAATCAACTTGGCAGAATGAGTTACTCCGTGTGTCCTGCGCTTGCTCCCTTGGAGCTGCAGCTGTGACTTACACTGTAATGGATACACTGCCTACAGGAGGCACTGACATGTTTGGCGTTGAGGGGATGAACAAATGAGTTTCATGAACCCAAGTCTGCCACCAAAGGAAGCAACAAGAACCAGATTCTTCAAATTGTCTATTTAATCACCACTGCTTTGAGCAGGGTCGGGGATGGCAAATGGGTCTTGACATGCAAGCCAACACCAGTCAATTGGCAGTGGCTCTTGAGAATGACCCCGGGGTCAGTAGGACAAGTTTGGGAATCAAACTTAGCGAACTAGCGATGTCTGCTGTGTACAAGGGAGGAGGAGCATCAGCAGGAATGATCTTCCCTAAACGATCTTCACCAGAAAACTGGCGCAGAGAACCATCCTTCACTCCCCTTTCTCTCAAGACCAGAAACCACAAGGGAGATGACTTCAACATTTCCCATCACCCCATAAGCTTGATACTGAAAAAAGCACCTAATATGTGCCAGGCTTGGGTCTTAGCACTTGGCCTTACCTCACTTCAGCCTCAGAACAACCCTACGAGAGTGTTGTTATTACCTCTATTTTACAGATGAGGAAACCGAGGCATAGTGAGGATAAGTGACTGACCAAGATCCCACAGGTTCCAAGTAGCCAGAGTGCTGGGCCTGGGCAGTCTGATTTCACAGTCCATCTGTACTGCAACTAGGCTGCTCCCACCAATCGGTGCAATGACGACTCTCTAACCACATGATCTCAGAGAAAGGGCAATCACTGGTACCCACCCAGTCCTCAGCAGGTGCCCTGTCAGTGTGGCCACCACTGGGCAGACCTGTTTGGGGGAGGTGTGGCCAGGACCCTCTTGGGAATGTGGGGGAACCACAAACTGAGATGGAATGAGAGAAAAGGGCCTGAAAAAGACCCTCTCCCTAGGGGCCTCCTGTGGGGCACAGTGGAAAAACACCCTCTTAGGAAGAAACCTGAGTTCAAAGCCTAGCACTGCCACATGCTCGGTGTGGGACCCCAGATAACTCGCCCAAAGCCTCTGATGCTCTAGCTAAAAAAGGAGCTGGCCACCACGTCACAGAAGGCTGTTGCCACATGCATGCCACGTGCCTGGCTCAACAAATTAATACTTAATATGTTAGTGATCTCCCTATCTTGGCATCCAGGACAAGCAGACAGCAGCTTTCCTACACTGATGGGTCACCATCATTTGACAGTTGGCTCCTCCACAATTCTTTACAATTCCAGCATAAGGAGGAAGGGTTGACAAGGTACCCCAAGACTGCAGCTTGGATGGCTTGTACAACGTGGAAACTACCCGACTGCCATCAAAGACCAAGGCTGGAATCCCAGCTTTGCCATTGACTGCTGTGTGTCCTTGGCTAAGCCTCTTCCCCTCTCTGGGCTCAGTCTCCTCCTCTACAAAATGTGGGGATGAGAATGTTGACCATGTCATGTTTATTCCCTGGCACCTGCCAGGAGGCCTGGCCTATAGAGATTTTTTCAACTAAGTGAAGCTCTCCACACTAGGCTCTGTGTTCAGAGGAGGACTAGATACCACGGGCCCAATCTTCTCTGGGGGCAAAATGAAATCACGCAGAACATAAACCTCAGTGCCTTCCTAAGCCTCAGGGAGCAGGATGTAAGACAGGTGGCTCAGATAATTTAAAAATGTGGCTAATTCCATTCAGTATGCTCATTTAAAACCTTATCTGCATGGCAGTGGGAGTGTTAAGTCAGGGCATTTGAAGCTGCTTCCAAGGCAAGATTTAGAAAGCCTGCCAACTATTCCTGAGGAGGTCATCAGAACACTAGGACCATACACTTAGCCTGGGGCAGCCATGTACACACTCAAGCTGCAACATCAGGCTAAGCCCATGTTAGCCTCTGTTTTCTGGGCAGGTAGCCCTGCCAGCCCATGGGGAATCAGGGGAGAGGGATGGGGGTGACCTGGAGTGAGGCGGCAGCTGGAAGGCTAGGAGCGGCTGGAGGGGTCACAGAGCTCAACAAATGTGCTCAAAAGAGGAGAACTCTGCAGGCCCCGCTTAGTGGACCGCCTTGGGGTTCCTAACAATGACTAAAGCCTCCCCAGGTTTGTACTGGCCAGAGCAGCTGAGATCCAAGCCTCCGTCTGGAGTCAGGCCCACCACACACTTTCTGAATGTCTACCCTGGCCTTCAGGCTGCCCCAGAAACCCTGAGCCATACTTGCCCCACCCCATCATGTACCTCAGCAAAGGCTGTGGCCCACCCCCAGGGAACCAGGCCAGGCCTGGGACAGAAGGCTGGTGCCAGGCAAGGTGGAGGGAGAGCGCACCCATGGGGCTGGGCCTCGGCACTGGGAGGCAGGCCCTACCTACCCAGGCCTGTCACCTTCCGCAGGCAGGCGAGGGCGGCCTGCAGGCGGCCACACTCCTCGGCGCTGGCCCCGCAGCGCTGCAGCGTCTCCTTCACCCTGGCCTCGCTCATGTCCAGCAGGGCATCCAGCGTGAGCTCGTGGAGGATCTCCTGAGGAAGCAAGGGACAGGCAGAGAGCTGGGTGAGCAGCCGGCGGCCCCAGCGCCCCCTTCATCCTCCTCCTGGTCAGGGCCGGTCTCCCCGCTGAGTGGCAGGGGCCAGCTGCTGGCGGGCCAGCCTCGGACCAAAAGTGAGCACGTGTCTGAGGGCAGAGGCAGCCGGCTCTCCCCCCCGCCCCGCGTTCCCAGAGGCGGCAGCTGATGAAGCGGAGGCAACAAAGCTTTGGGGGTGGGGGCTGGGGGAGGAAGGGAAAACACAAGGAAAAGTTTTGACAGGGCATGTTGTCCCTCGTTTCTTTTTATTCCTTTGCACAGAAAAATGAAGCGTGACAACTTTTTAGAATGAAAGTGCTTGAGATAAAGACAGCCCTTCACAATTTTGCTGTATCTGAACAAAACAGATTTCAAATAAAATTGGCTTAACCAGAGAAAGAGTAAAAATAATCCTCCCTGAGCTCTGTATGGGCACTTACTACCTTGCCTTATTTCTCAAAGTTTTACAAGGGTTTGTGGTTAACTGAGAGGAAGGGGGAGACTCAAAGCATGAAAAGGACTGTAGACTTTGAAGAGGGAAGAGACATGTGAGGAGGAATGTGGGTGGCCTCTGGGAGAGGGAGTGGCCTCTGGCTAACCTGCAAGGGAAAGGGTGCCTCAGACCTACAGCCGTAAGGATCTGGATTCTGCCAACAACCTGGAGGCACTTGGATGTGGCTTCTTCCCAAAGCTTCTGGGTGAGAGGCCAGCCTGGCTGACACCTTAAGTCCAGCCTGGTAAGATCCTAAGCAGGGAAGCTAGTCGAGCCCACCTGGACTCCTCCATCCAGTCTTCCTCCTACAGAACTGGGAGCCAGTAAGTGGGGGATGTTTTAAGCCACTTGGTGTATGGTAATTTGTTATGCAGGAACAGAAAACGAACACAAAGAGTGAATGTTTGAATCAAGGCCCACAGACTTCAAAGCTTGTGCTCTTGTCTCTCACCAAGTTGCGAGGAAATGCCTTGGGCTCTGTACCTTTGAGCCACATGTGATACCAAGCCTGGAACAGACACACAGAACAATGGGACACCTCGCTGGCTTCGAGTAGCTTGCAGGGTGACTGACATATGAACAAGTCATTGCAATGCAGTAAGTGGTGGCCTTGCATAGAGAAGCCGGAAGAGCTATTGGACCTGTGATGAGATTGGATTTCTTCCTCTTAGGCCCCTTTCTATATTTTCCAGATTTTCCCTAGTGGGGAAGGCCAGACATCCCACATCAAATGATTCATATAAAGCTCACAGCTCTTGAGACTCTAAGCTGACTGTCACTAAGCCAGCTGTGTTTAATTTTATTTTAAAAGAGTAAGGTTTTTATCGGTTAATCCACACTGTTGTAAATCTTAGACTCATCTGTTGAGCTGGGCCTGAGGAAGATACTGGCTATGAGTCACTAGGGCAGTGGTTTGGGGGGAGTGCCTGGGGGTGGGGCCCCTGGCTGCCGGCAATGTCCCTCCCTTCCCACCTTTGTGTCTCTTGTCTTCACGCTCCAGGTTGCAGACAAGAATCTCTTAGCTATTTAGAAATCACACTCAAAATTAGAAATAAACAGACATATAGAAACGCCAAACAGCTCATCAGCAGCTGGACAAACCCTAGGTTGTCAGATATCCTCCCAGGTTATGAGAGAGGTCGTCACAGGAAGCCATTGATAAGACAGCAGAGAGGAGGCTGAGATGATGGTCCCAGGGCAGAAGTTTTCCATAAATCAACATGTCTTCCTTTATTGCCCTCAGGAACACTCTTCATGGAAATCTTTTCCCCTCATTGACATTCCCCTCATTTTACAACTGAAAAGCCACTTTGCAATATTGTCAAGAGCAAATGGAAGTGAGGCTGACCTTAACAGACCGCACATCCAGTCTTCCTCCTACAGAACTGGGAGCCAGTAAGTGGGGGATGTTTTAAGCCACTTGGTGTATGGTAATTTGTTATGCAGGAACAGAAAACGAACACAAAGAGTGAATGTTTGAATCAAGGCCCACAGACTTCAAAGCTTGTGCTCTTGTCTCTCACCAAGTTGCAAGGAAATGCCTTGGGCTCTGCCTTTCCCTGGAGGGTCCTCAGGTCTCACCCACATGGGCAGTGTTTCAAAGAGGGAGCCCTGTATCTGATTTGGGGCCATGGAGGTAAGGGGCGGGGCTGGGGGAATCACAGCCTAGACACCCAATCCCCAATCTAATGCAAAATAGGATCTTTTTCTTCCTTTATAAAATTCCTCTCCTTTCTACCCACACCTAGTTTCAGTTTCTCAAACCAAGTAATTCTACTATTACAAACAATTTGCCAGGACGATACGCTCGTGTGCTTTGTATTTTGTCTCCACACAAAACAATTCAGCAGCAAGATGCCCTGAAGCCCATGAAGGCTCTGATACCTCACACACCAGGCAACGTAATCAATGCTCGGGCCAGAACCAAAACCCAGGCATGCCAGGTCCCAGACCTCCTTCAATTTATGCCCTGCTGTCTGTCGCTGACCGGGCAAAGCAGTGGGAGGCAGCAGCTGCCTTTTGGGGGAAATGATTTCTTTCCAAGTAAATTAAAAGAATTAATTTCTATCTGCTTTCTAGAAAAAAACACAAACTATACGGTAAAATGGAAATTCTCCACTCTTTAGCAAGTGAAGTAACTCCCTAAAAAAAGTCAGTATGTTCAAATCCATTCCTTTAAAAGAAAAAGAATGAAAAAAAGGTACTCTCTTACAGCTTCAAATTAGCTGGGAAGTTTCTCTCACTCCCCTGCAGCCAAGATCAGCCCATCCCTCGACCCCACCCCGGGAACTGGGCAGCAGGGACTGCTTCCCCTTCCCTCCTTTGCCCCCTCATTATGCTTCAGTTCAAACCAGGGGTTGGCAACACAAAACTGGGGGGCAGGTGGGAGTACTGGGACAGAAGAGAGAGCCAATCCAGGGTCCATTACACTGGAGCTGCTCCCATCTCTCCCAGGACAAGCATGGCTCCCTGGGGTGTGACCTGTGCAAGGAAGTCGGTGGAAGGAGAGAGCTTAGCGCATGTCACTGCTATTATTTCTGACTGCCCCTTCCATTTTTGAATTCCTCCTGCCTGTAGGATTGGATCATTGCCCTGTGAGGAGGGGCCACCCCATTCTACCTAAAGGCCGCCATCAGTCAATAAAGCTATCCACTGGTCAGTAGGTTACCTGGTAGAGTAAGGGGCTCAAACACACAACCTCACGGCCAGGCCTTGGGAAGAAAAGAGACAAGTGCGAAATGTGGTCCTTTCATCTATCTTTTGAAAGAGATACATGTACTAGAAACACTTCTGTTGCTTCTTTACTGGACAAGAAAGTCAACTGCAGCAATGGCGATGCTAATCAGAAACTCACCCTGTGCCTTCACTCAGCACTGGGGTAAGTGGGGAAGCTTGGGTGGGGAGGCAGATTTTATTATAAAGACACCTGACTTTTTATTTTTAAATGGCTGGTTTCCACATGGTGGCAACTAATGCAAATCTGTGCAGACCAAACAATCACATCCTTGGGTCACATGGAGCCGCCAGGCCCCAGCACAGGCACCCTGTATGAAGAATCTGACACCTTCCAAAGGTCTGTCTGATCAGTGACTGCTGCAGCTTCATTTCTTTAGGCAAACGGGAAGAGCCCTAGGCAACATATGGTGGGGTAGCCAGGCCTTCTCGGTGAGGTGCCCACCCTGGCTCTGGAACCCCACCATAGGAACAAAGTGCCCATGCCTTCCAGCTCCTACTGGTGATTTCAGACCCAAAGTTACCTCAGTCGAGAGGGACAAGTCCTCAAGGCAGGCAGGCTGGAATCAGAATATGAAGAAAACGCAACTCCCGCTCTCAACTGGGCCTCTAGCTAGACAAGAGTGAGGCTGGGCTAGTGGCTGTGCCCGGGAAGGCCCCGGATGGCTGATTTCTCCTCCTATCACAACTTCAGCAGTGCCCCCAAGCAACTCAGCACCCCCAAACCTCACACACAGAAGTGACCTGCCTGCCCACAGGGACAGGCACAGCCAGGGCTGAGCTGGGAAGTTTTTTCAGGCCAGAGTAATTCATGTGCAGCTTTCCTGGATAACCATTAAGCTGAAAGCAAAGCAGGGAGTCAGTTCCATCACCTGTGGAGGTGACCTCAGGCCTGTCAGCAACCTGGAAAGTGAAGCTGCTCTGAAACCCTCTGGTCTGAGAGGCACCAAGGCCCTAGGAGGGCGTCCCTCCTGCCTGGAGGCACACAGAAGAGGCCAAGTGGTCTCAAAGCCAAAGGCCCATCACACCCTGGAGATCTGCAGAAGGGATGAAGCCTGAGAGTCATACTGCTTCAAGGAGAATCACTGCCCACCCCAGCTTCTGTCTAAGGAAGAGAATATGAACTAGAAACCAGGAGGGGAAGACATGGCCACCCAGCCCACTGCGGGAGACAGCAAGCCCTGGCTCCTGTGAGCCTCCGGTCAGCACATGAGCACAGATGTGGGGCAGTGAGAACACGGCTCCCTGCCTCTGCCCATTCCCTCGAGCCATAGTTTATGTTCTCCAGTAGGTGACATTAAGTTACTCTTTCTGACAATAATTAGAGAGCAGAAAGGGCCAGTCAGGCACTGAGGTCCCTCCCAGTATGTTCTCTACAGCAGGAGGAATGGGCTGGGTTAAACACAGCTACCCTTCCCCTCAGCAGCTGGCAGCGGCTAGTGTCAGAGGCCAGGCTGGGTATCAGATGGTGTCCTGGGACTTCCCAGCAGCGATGGGGCTGCCTGGGTCTATACTTAGAAACTTGTACTGGCTGACACTGAGAGCCATCCACACTTGTTGCAGTCAGTCAGGTGGTCTGTGGAAAGGCCAGGGGCTTCAGCCATGTGTGGGCCACGTACAAGAACCTGGGTGAAGGCCTGGGTTGAAGGCCGCAACAAGGTGCAGACCCACATCTGTTCCTGTCTGGCTGCCTAGGCCTCGAGCTCAGGATGGGTCGGTCAGTAATGGCCTCATCGGTGCTGCTCCCACTTCAGGCCCACTCGTGGAACTGGGACTGCCGGCATGTGTGGGCAGTGGTGTTCCCCACCTGGGGGTTAATGAAGGGGCCAGGGTCCTTCACCGCAGACACTTCCTTGGGACTGGTCACAGCAGAGAGACCAGAGGTAGACCCCTGAATCCTGAGGATGGTGGCATGGGACCTTGCACCCCCCTCTGAGGCCAGGGAGGCTGGAGAAGGGGAGGGAGAGGAGCAGGGTTTCACAGGCAGCCCGCTTGCAAGGGAGTACCCGACAGATGCTCCTTCCAGCCCTCCCCGCACTGCTGGGGCTGAGGGAGTGGGGGTGAGACTTGGGAAATAGTAGTTGGATATTCTGGGAGGCACAGGAAGGACTGAGGAGGTAAGGGCCTGGGCCAGGCAGCCTCCTGGGTTTCCATGAAGATCAGCAGTTTAGGTCACTATCCCAGCCCTGGGAAACAAGAAAAGTCCCTCCTGGGAGAAGTCAGCCACTTGCTAGAAGGCAAAGCCCAGCTTCTCTCCCCGACCTCCCAGCCAGCCAATGCAGTGAAGGAGAGGCCAGACATGGTCCTTGGAACCCCCTGGACCTTGGGCCAGTCCCTGACTCTCTCTCTGGGCTTTGGTTTCATAATTTATAAAATGCATGGGGGTTTGGCTAGATCAGATCAGTAGCTCTCAACCCTGGCTAGTTGCACCCTAGAATTACCTGGAGGGCTTTAAAAAAGGATCCTGATGCGAGGCCCACCTCAGAGCAATTGAATCAGAATTTCTATGGGTGGGCATTGTGTGGGCAGATAGGCTACAGGGCCTTAGTCCAGTCAAAGTAGCCCAGGACAGAAAGGGTGTGAGAATGCCCAGTTCAGTAGACAGGTCTGCCTGGCAGGCTGTACCCTGGGGCTTGACTTTCTACCTGTTCTCTCTAGAGGCTCACATGCCTTCAACTCAACCCCAGCCCAGCCCAAGATGGCCCAGGAAATGTCCCCTCCCACACAATGGTGCCTCCCTCACTAGCATGAGGCAGGGTTGAGGTTCACAGAGTGGGAGCCAGCTGGAATCTTCAAGGAGCAGCTGTCTCCATTCTATGCATTGGTATGTCTGGGCTTGCAAGCCTCAGAGAGATGGTGCAGGGGTGAGGTGGGTGTGGAAGTGGATGGACACAGGTCAAAGGAGGAGGGGGTTGTGAAAGGGCAAGTGATGAGCATGTATTACACAACTCCTGGGTGCCCAGCACTCTGCTAGATGAACTATGGAGGTCAGTGCAGGCAGTCCTCACAATATCCTGAGATGGGTGGGAAGGCTCAGAGATGGCAGGACATTTGGTCAAGTCCACACAGTCCGACTAGTGAGGCGGAGGCATGGCCATCCCCACCTATTCCCAGCCAGCTGGCCCTGCCTCGGCTGGTGCTCCCTTCTCTGCTCTGTTAAATGGGCTCTTTATCCCAGAGCAGAGTTTACCTGGCATCCCAGGCCACCTCTGGCTTCCCTGGCTGTACACCGTGCCCTCGCCCACCCTCAGTGGGGCGGGCTGCAGCTGTGGGGTAAAGGCAGCTGCAGCAGGGCCCCTGGCAGTCTTCTCTCCACATACCTTTTCCATTCCCCTCGGTTTCCCTCCCCCTTCTGGAGGAGGCAAGTGCTGTCCACCTCTGCCTGGCACCAGATCTCCACGTCTCGTGGCATCTGCTTTAACCATGGCCACCACCAGCCCCCCAGGGGGCTACCTCCCTGGCTCCATTCTTCCTTCTGTAAACCCTGAGATACCTAGTACAGGAAATTAAAATGCATTAAAAATGTAAAAACCATTCTTAGTTTGCAAGGCTGTACAAAAACCAGTGGTGGGGTGGATTTGGCCTTCATGGGCCATAGTTTGGCAACCCCTGGTCTAGTGGGTCATTCAGCCACTCAATAAACACCCATCAACTATGTCGGGCTCCATCTCCTTGTAGCCCCGGGCCTCAGTGCATCCTCCTTCCTGCCTCCCACTGTGCTGACATGTCTTCTCCCCGTGTACCCCCAACACAAGCAGAAGAGGACACAGAGAATATGTTCCAAGGCAGGCCCACATCTGCCACCTCGATGTCTCCTGCACAGCTGCATTTTGTAACCTTTCTCTGTGTTATCAACGCCCATCTCCTAAATTGTTCCTCTTGGCTGCTGTTTGAAAATGGCCAGACATGTCCAGCATTAGAGAAACACACACACACACACACAGCTTAGGGGCCATGTGCTTTCCCCTAGTACAAGTTGCTCCCCAAATGGGGAGGGGGGCAGGTAGGCTTCTACAAGGGGTTCTCTGCACCCAGGATGCTTGTTGACTGTGGGGAAAAATCTCACTATTGTCTACCAGACTTCACAGTAGAACTCAAGTCAAAATGGGATACCCTGACACAGACAAGAGAACATTGAAAAGTTAAGAGTGGGGTTCAGGGGGACAGGGCATGGGTTTGCCAGTAGCCAAAGAGCTACACTAACCCTTGGGAGCTGCTTGGCTTCTGGGGAAGGGGCCAATGGGAAAGCCCCTCCCTGCACAAGCAGGGCAGTGTGGAGGGGCCAGAGTCCTTATGCCAGGGCAGCAGATTCCCCAGACCTGTAGGCTTTTCCTGGGGTCCCTGGCTGAGACAGCAGGTGAGGAGACGGTGAGCAGGGTGGCAATACGGACGGAGGTCAGGCCAGCAACCGGGTGAAGAGGAGGGCTCCAGAGGGAGGGCAGCTGTGTGATGCGCCATCCCCACAGGGACACCTCTGAGAGGGAGGGGGAGCTGTGAGTACCTGCCACCTCCCCCACCCCCCTAAACTGGGATTGTCCCCAGCAAACTGGCATGCCTGCTAATCCTATGCAGAGGTGCAGGGATCAGGGTCTGGTTTGAATTGGGCCTCCCCACGGGGAACCCCAGCTCTTCCAAGAGTAGAGGCACAGACAGAAATAAATGGGCTCTCGGGTGTGGCCACATCTGTGGCTGTCTTATTCTTGCTGGTCTCCAACTTCTTCCCCTTCAATTCTTCCCTGTTCAAACACACCATTAAAGAGGATTCCTAGACACGTGTATTCCATCTTCTACTTCTGCCTCCTCCACGTCTGCAGGGCGAGAGCTCCGACTTCAGAAAGTCCGGCCCACCCAGCCAGAGCACACCTGCACAGGCACACGGGCCTGAGGCATAGTGACCTCGCTTAGAGCCCCGGCCTCAGGGCCCAGACCCAAATCACAGACCCCTCGCCAGAGGGGCACATCCCAGGGTTCGGAGTGCGGTCTGACCTTCGGGGTTGTCTATCTGGGTGGGGATGAACCGGGCCACAGGCAGCGCTCCCAGAGCTGGAGACCCGAGAACCTGCCTGCAGACAGGGGCCGCATTGTTTCAGAGCTGCCCCAGGGTGTCCAGACCAGGAGACTGAGATCTCTTGGGAGGTCCTGGAGGCAGGCCGCCCTTCTCTGTAGTTTTCCAGTCACCCTGTAAGTAACTCCTGCCCCACAGCAGCACCGGGCCTCTGAGTACAGGAGCCCAGTGGCGAGCCTGAGTGGGCGGCCAGGACTCAGGCCCAGGGGGCCATCGGCAGTGTTACCAGGGTCCGAGGGCATGAAGGGCCAACAGATATTCATGAGGTTGAGAAGAGAGGAAGGCTAAATCCTTCCTCTGCTAAGGCCAAGGGGCAGAGTTTGAAGGGATCTTAGACACAATCTAGCCTGACGCTCTTTTTCTGAGGGGGGAACCCGAGGCCCAGAGGGAAGGGGACTGGAAAGTCACCCAGGAGAACAGTACCAGGACAGGGCCCAGGTTATGTGACACTAGTGCCCAGGAGCACAGGATATAGCACACCCCTGGGGGAGCTCGCCATCTTCCACGGTGGGCCTTCCTTACCTAGGCGCAAAGGCTTCATTCCTGCCAATTTTAAGATCTGCTCAAAGAGGTGGGCCAAGGGGAAGACTCCCTGAGCTTTGCCCCGAGACTCACCTCCAAAGGCGCAAGGCCTGAGCGATGCAAGCCGTGTGCCTGCCTGGTGGGCCCTGAGCTCTTCAGGATCCAGAGGCAACAGGACTCTGGGCTCATGGCCTCATCACCAGCCTGGCAAGTCCCTAATGTCTTGATGGCTTAAAAGATGGTGGGTGGGCAGAAACCCTCAATTCCATGTTTTCGCCTACCCCTACCCGCACCCACTCTGGCAACAATGCACGCTTTTCTTCTTTTTGAAAAGCAGCAGCGCATCCCACATCACCAGCTACACCCAAACACCCAGGTTATGAGCGCGGACTAGACACACCGGGGGCCAGGGCACACTGACTCTCACTCCGCCTCTTCATGTGCTTCCTTTTTCCATGACGAGCCGCAATGTACACATCACAGCTAGTGGTACGACTGCCACTCGTGAAGCAGCTTGGGCACAGCTGCTTGGTAGCTAAGGACAGTGAAGCTCAGAGGGATTAAGTTACTCATTCAAGATGCAGCAAGTGAGCGAGGAAGCCTGGATTGGACCCTGGTCCGCGTAACTCCAAAGCGAGCACTCGTAGCCTCTGCTCGGTTAGGACTTCCTGGCCTGGTTGACCAGGAGCCCTGAGACACAGGGCTGCATCTGCCTGTTTGGCTCCAGTTTCTTAAGCTCACTGCAGAGGCTCACTGCAAAACAAGTGTGTGTCCTGTTCAAGCCAAAAACATATAAACAGGCAAAAAACCATTCACTAGAAGGATGGGGAAGATCTATTGTAGGAAGATTCTGACAGTTACCCAGCCACTAATGCAAGAAACACCAAGAATGAAATAATGAAATGGAAATCCCATTCTACCCCAACATGCAGATTTCTCTAGACGCGATCTGTAGACAGTTGGCCAAGCAAGAACTGAGAACCCAGCTAAATGTACGCATCCCAAGACTCATGGGAAGGCCACCTGATCCCAGCCAGGCCCCAGTGCCTACTTCACAACCCTCTGGCCAGGGCTGGTCCAGGCCTTGTGCCTTCCGCAGCACCATGGGTGGAGGGACCTCTGTGCTCCTTGAGGCCTTGGCCATGACCCAGCTCCAGAGGCAGTGCATGGTGAGGTGCCCAAACCCAGGGTCCCCAGCAGCCCTGGCCCCTGGTGTGGTGTCCCAGGGAAGGACGAGGCAGGGGGAGGAGTTTCTGTTTTCATGACTACAGTGAACAGTCACTACAGCCAAAAATAGTTTGTGCCTGGGAGCTGGGGAGTCAGCACATACCTCCTGGAACAGGTGCTGGGCTTGAGACACGCAGGCTGTGGTGGGCCCCCTGCAGTGGCCCTGGGACCCAGCACCCAGGATATCCGGCCACAGACAGAGAGGGTCTCCCTGCCCACCTCCGAAAAGTCTGAATGAGTCAGTAAGATCATCTCCCTCCTCCCAGTGAATCATCTGGGGAACCCCCATCCCTACATGAACTCCAGCTGCCCCCAACCCCCTGCAGTTCTCACACATTTGGGGCTGGGTGGTTTGGACACCCACAGAAGAGTCATATGAACTACAGTGAATGCACTGGATGGCACATAAGACAGCCATTAAAAGTGAAGCTCAGCCATCATAATTCATAAAACTGTACACCCAAAACAGTGAACTTTCCCATAAGTAAATGTAAAAGATGGTGAAAAATATTAAGGAGCTGGCTATCAGTGGTTGGTGGAATTGTGGGATAATTTTATTTTGAGCTTTTCTCTATTTTCAGATTTTCCTACTATGAACATCTGTAATTCGATTTAGAAAATGTTACTTTGAAATAAAATTTTTAAAAAGGTAAGATGCTGAGGCATCACAGAGGGAATGTACAACCTCGTTCAACAGGTGAGAATTTAAACTGTGTGTGTGTGTCTGTGTGTGTGTGGTTTGTGACCCCTGCTTTGAAGCCAGACTTTCTGGATATCAATCCTCACTTTATCGCTTACCATTTAGGTGACCACTGCTAAGTGGCACTGTCACTTAGTCTATCTCTATTGTATACTGGAAATAAAAGCATTGCCTCCTGTTTTAGGATAAATATTCGTATCTCTCCAAAATTCATATGTTGGAACCGAATCCCCAGTGTGATAGTATTAGCAGGTGGGGACTTTGGGAGGTGATTAGGTCATGAGGATGGAGCTCCAATGAATGGGATTAGTGTCCTTATAAGAGACCCGGACAGTTGCCTGGCCCCTTTCTACCATGTGAGGACAGAGCAGAAAGAGTGCTGTCTATGAACTGGGAAGCAGGTTCTCACCAGACACTGAATCTGTTGCACCTTGACCTTGGACTTCTCAGCCTCCAGAGTTGTGAGAAATAAATACCTGTTGTTTATAAGCCACCCAGTTTGCAGTACTTCTGTTACAGAAGTGCAAATGGACTGAGACACCTCCTAAGGTTACTCGGAGGACTGAATGACACTCCAAGGGAAGCTCACAGCTCAGTCCCAAGCACACTGGGACACTCATTAAAGAATTATAACAGAAATCACAAACTACATAAAAGAAGACAAAGAACCAGCAAACAAAGAAGGCTGACTGGAAGGAAATACATTAAAATACTTACAGCATTTCCTCGGAGTAGTAAGATTATGGGTAAGCCACCAATAACCAGAGGTATAATTGTTTTCTTTAATTTCCTCATTTTTTCCATTCTGGAAATAAACATATGTATAAATTACTAGATATTAAGAAAAAAAGCAAACCTAAAAGGCCAGGGAGTAGCTATTATCTCCGTGTAGGATTAGAGATGATTTATTTTACTTGCTTTTCTGTGTCTTCTAAAATAAGTAACTTTTATAGTAGAGTAAATGAGAAATGTTATTAAAAACAAAAACTGAGGGCTAGGTTCACCTATTATATTCTAGAAACAAGATCTCTGCAGAACCCCCCCACCCCAGGGTCTAGGCCTTAGGCAGCATCTCTGAGCCTGAGGCCTCTGCCTCTGACACAGACCAAAGAGTTCTGTTCTCTGAAGGAAAATGGGGTGCAATGGTCACCCCTGAGAAAGACAGGTACTCGTCCCCCAGTGAGCCCTGGATGAGGGTGGGGATGGGCACCTCAGCAGCTACAGTAGTGACTGTTATTGCTGTCTGGGGAGGGAGGGTGTCTGTGCACGCCTCCTCTTCTCCCAGCAGGGTTAGAAAATGTTACTTTGAAATAAAATTTTTAAAAAGGGAAGATGCTTAGGCATCACAGAGGGAATGTACAACCTCGTTCAACAGGTGAGAATTTAAACTGTGTGTGTGTGTGTCTGTGTGTGTGTGGTTTGTGACCCCTGCTTTGAAGCCAGACTTTCTGGATATCAATCCTCACTTTATCGCTTACCATTTAGGTGACCACTGCTAAGTGGCACTGTCACTTAGTCTATCTCTACTGTATATTGGAAATAAAAGCATTGCCTCCTGTTGTAGAATAAATATTTGTATCTCTCCAAAATTCATATGTTGAAACCTAATCCCCACTGTGATAGTATTAGCAGGTGGGGACTTTGGGAGGTGATTAGGTCATGAGGATAGAGCTCCAATGAATGGGATTAGTGCCCTTAGAAGAGACCCAGACGGCTGCCTGGCCCCTTCCCACCATGTGAGGACAGAACAGAAAGACTGCTGTCTGTGAACTGGGAAGCAGGTTCTCACCAGACACTGAATCTGTTGCACCTTGACCCTGGACTTCGCAGCCTCCAGAGTTGTGAGAAATAAATTTCTGTTGTTTATAAACCAACCAGTTTGCAGTATTCCTGGTACAGCAGCACAGATGGACTGAGACACCTCCTAAGGTTACTCAGAGGACTGAATGACACTCCAAGGGAAGCTCACAGCTCAGTCCCAAGCACACTGGGGCACTCACTAAAGAATTATAACATAAATCACAAACTACATAAAAGAAAACAAAGAACCAAGAATCAAAAAAGGCTGACTGGAAGGAAATACATTAAAATACTTATAGCATTTCCATGGAGTAGTACAATAATGGGTAAACCACCAATAACCAGAGGTATAACTGTTTTCTTTAATTTCCTTATTTTTCCCATTCTGGAAATGAACATATGTATAAATTACTAGATATTAAGAAAAAAAAGCAAACCTAAAAGGTCAGGGAGTAACTATTATCTCTGTGTAGGATTAGAGATGATTTATTTTACTTGCTTTTCTGTATCTTCTAAAATAAATAACTTTCATAGTAGAGTAAATGAGAAATGTTCTTAAAAACAAAAACTGAGGGCTAGGTTCACCTCTTATATTCTAGAAACAAGATCTCTGCAGAACCGCCCCACCCCAGGGTCTAGGCCTTAGGCAGCATCTCTGAGCCTGAGGCCTCTGCCTCTGACACAGACCAAAGAGTTCTGTTCTCTGAAGGAAAATGGGGCGCAATGGTCGCCCCTGAGAAAGACAGGTACTCGTCCCCCAGTGAGCCCTGGATGAGGGTGGGGATGGGCACCTCAGCAGCTACAGTAGTGACTGTTATTGCTGTCTGGGGAGGGAGGGTGTCTGTGCACGCCTCCTCTTCTCCCAGCAGGGCTATTCTTCCTCCAGGAACCCGTTTCCCCAGGGCAGGTATCTCTGACCCTTCAGACCCGCCACCATGAGGATAAAGGGCTGAGCCCATGACCCAGTTTGGGTCCTGGTCCTGTGATTGGTTCTGGGATGAGCACATGACAAAAGCCAAGCCAATCAGAGCCTTCCCTGGGACTTTTTCAGCTACAGTTCTAGGTGAAGAAACTCTCCATAGCGAAGCACTACTACTATGCTAGAAAGAAAAGAGGCTTATTTAGCTGCGTGTGCCTTCATGCCTGTCACATGGAACAGGCCTGTCCAAGAGGTGTGGCCTGATAGCATCAACTGAGTCCCTGCCCCCAGACTTGTATTACCTAAGCTGATAAAAGCCTCTGCTTTGTTTAAGCCAGTTAGTATTGCAATTTGCTAGGGAAAAGTTCTAACTAGTAGTAGGAGAATATAATAGCTTGAATTTAGTAAGTACTTACTATGTGCCCTGGTACCATGTGATTCCTCCACCTACTTATCCATCCATCTATCCAATCAACAGACAGCTACTGAATACCAAGAGTGTGCCAGGCATTTTACTCAGCCCTGGGACTAGAACAGCAAACAAAATAAATAGTTTTTTTCCTTGGGGAGCTTACATTATGATAGGAACATGCTGTAATTGAAATCACTTGTGAATAAGTGAGTAAAAGGAAACAGCGAGCTGAGATAAAGTGACGGGTGGGGGACATCTAATTTTAGACAGCGTGGCCTCTCTGAAGAGCAGACTTCTAAGCTCCTGTCAGAGGATAAGAAGGCACTAGCGATGAAGAAACTTCCAGGCAGGGGAAACAGAACATACAAAGGCCCTGGGCTGTGACAGGAAACAATCTGACGTGTTCTAACATGACGGGAAGAGTGAGGAGGGGAAGGAGACAATGTGAAAGGAGCCAGCTCACAGAGTACTTCAGGGCCTTGAAGATCAAGGTGAGGGGGCTGGATTTTATGCTGAGTGCAACAAGACACCACTGAAGAACTACACTCAGAAGAGTGAGATGATCAGATTTGCATTTTAGGGAAAATCACTCGGCTTGTGGAGAATGAAATTAAGAGGAGGACAAGATTGCATACAGAGAGCAATACAGGTGTGACTGCACAAGTCCATGCAGTAGCTAGGCCTCGGGAGGCAGCAGTGGTGAAAAAGAAGCATAGATGAGTGAGAAGAATATTTGGAAATAAAGCCAGCAGTATTTGCTAGTCAATTGAATGTGGAAATTGAGGAAGCAGGAGGAATCAGAAATGACACCTCAGTTTTCAAGGCTAGAGAACTGACAGATGAGTAAACAGGCTCAAAGAGACAAGGGACTTGTTTAAGGTCACACTATTACCAAGCGGCAAAATTAAGATTTTGCCACCAAACAACAGGTTCTTGGCCATCTATTTCCAATCTTGCTACCTGCCCAAAAAACATACAGGGGGAACAAGGGCCACTGAAATTTATATGTTCATTGTTTTTAAAAGAAGCGTTAATGAGAGGGAACTTTTGCTTTATAATAATTAAAACTGGTAGTTTTTTGAAGTATAGCTGATATATAATATATTGGTTTCAGGGGTATGACAGTGAGTCAACAATCATATACATTATGAAATGCTTACCACAGTAAGTGCAGTTACCAACTGTCACCATACAAACTTACTCCAATATGACTGACTATATTGCCTACGCTGTACTTTTCACCTGTGACTTATTTCATAATTAGCAGTTTGTACCTCTTTATCCCCTTCACCTATTTTGCTCCCCATCCCCCAGTAACCTCAGATAAAACTATGGTATAGATGTAAGAATTTCCCGGTAACATTGGTGGTGCTAGATGTGTCCTTGTTCTGTTTTGGAGCACTCCTGCCTTTAAGAGGCAGTCCCCAGAGGAGGAGAGACCTAATATACGCTGACAGCCCAGGAGCCAGGCGGCCCCAGAGGGGCCCAGGCACACACCAAGTCAAAGCTATCTTGCAAAGCAGCTGCAAGCACACGGCCTTGCTCAAGTCCAGCCAGTCACCAACTGAAACCAGATGCAGCTCAGGAACCCCAGGCCTCAGCTGGCCACTGGCAGCCCCCACACCCCCTGCAGTTCAACCTTAGCTACCCCAGACGAGAGTGCTCTTTAGGGCCTCAGCCAAGGGTCCAAAATTCTTTGGATAATCTTCTTTGAATTGTTGTTCAATATGAGCAACTACTACATGCCAGGCAATGGGGACAGAGCAGTGAACAAAACAGCCAGGTCCCGCGCACATGACTCTTGCAGGGTACTTGGTTTTCACTAGACCTGGCCACTGAGACATTCAGAGGATCAAGGAGATGGGCTTGCCATTCAAAAGTGCCAGCCAGGGCAGGGCTAAGCAGAATAGTCATGCTCATGATTTTTCAGGTTCTAGAAACCAGAGGCACCCCCACACTCGAAAGCTTAAAGGAGGGCACTTTGGCTTAGCACCAGAGAAATCAATCACTTTGTCAGTTGG